GACATGACTGCCTACAGTGGGAGTTCTTAGTTTGATAGATTATACGCGTAAAGTCTGTATATTTACTTTCTTCGTGAGGAAGTGATATTTTGACTGATAAGCTTGATAATTTTCTGTTTATTAGATCTTACTAATTCTAGGCCGATTCAGAATCTGCTCAGTCTTTCAGCGTGGAAAAAGATGCTATTTTTCATTGAAATCATGTTTTTGAAAACAAATAGTAAGAGCAGTAGATCCACACAAGCCTCTTATTGCCGAGGCATTACTAACAATGACCTTATGAAATATAACATTAATGTATTTAGCCAAATTTATTTAGTGTTATGTATGGAGGTAGAAAACTAACTCGCTAAAAAAACGCTAACCAGAAAAAATTATTCAAACCTTTTTAACTCTGCCCTGGGAGTCAGAAGGTCTTCATTTAGAAGAGTTATGACGCCTCATGATGAAAGCCGAGTTCCTTCGGAAGTCACGAGACCGATGCCCCTTCTGAAAACCAGAGCAATCATTTATTTAGGTACATGGAATGCTCGTGCAATGTGGGAGACCGGGAGAGCCTTCCAAATTGCTGCAGAAATGAGGAGATACAACCTAGAGGTGCTTGGGATCACTGAAACACGTTGGACGCAAGTCAGACAACAACGACTAGCTTCAGGGGAGCTTCTGTTATACTCTGGCCATGATGAAGAAAATGCCCCACATACACAAGGAGGATGAGAATCTCATGGAACAAGGATGATCAAAGCCTCCTTCATAACAAAGAAATAGGGCATTTCAATGAACGTCATCCAATGCTATGCGCCTACCAACGACTACAATGAAGACGCTAAAGATCAATTCTACGATAAATTGTAGCCAATCGTCGAGAAGTGCCCAACAAAGGACCTGACCATCCTGATGGGAGATTTAAATGCCAAGGTTGGAATGGACAACACTGGATATGAAGACATCATGGGACGATATGGACTGGGAGAAAGGAACGAAAATGGTGAGAGATTTGCAAACCTATGTGCCTTCAATAAACTGGTCATAGGCGGTACTATATTCCCACATAAACGCATTCACAAAACCACATGGACTTCACCGGATCACACTACGCAAAACCAAATCGACCATATCTGCATCAACAAAAAGTCCAGGAGGATGGTGGAGGACGTGAGAACCAAGAGAGGAGCTGATATAGCATCAGATCATTATTTGCTGTTCACCAAGATGAAATTGAAACTCTAGAATTACTGGACAACGATGCAGACAATATCTCAAAAGTTCAATACAACTTTTTTTCTGGATACTGACAAACTCAACAAATTCAAGATAGCCCTCAGCAATAAGTTTCAGGCCTTTCATGATCTACTCAATGGAGAAGGAACTACTATGGAGAGCAACTGAAAGGGGATAAAAGAGGCAATCATTTCAACATGTCATGAGGTTCTGGGCCACAAGGAGCACCATCGCAAGGAATGGATCACTGTTGATACACTGGACAAGATTCAAGAAAGGGGGATCAAGAAGTCAGCAATCAATACCAGTCGAACAAGAGCAGAAAAAGCCAAGGCACAAGCTGAATACACAGAAGTAAACAAACAAGTGAAGAGGAGCATCAGAACTGACAAACGTAAATATGTGGAAGATTTAGCAATGACGGCGGAAAGGGCTGCAAGAGAAGGAAACATGAGACAACTGTATGACATAACAAAGAAACTCTTTGTAAATCGCCGCAAAGCAGAACGACCAGTGAAAAGCAAGGAAGGCGAGGTAATTACCAACATTGAAGAGCAACAAAACAGGTGGGTAGAACACTTCAAAGAACTCTTGAATCGACCAGCCCCACTGAACCCACCCAATATCGAATCAGCACCCATTGACCTCCCAATCAATGTTGGCCCACCAACAATTGAAGAAATCAGTGTGGCCGTCAAACAAATGAAGAGTGGCAAAGCGGCAGGACCAGACAACACTCCAGCAGAGGCACTGAAAGCAGACGTAGCAGTAACTGCAAAGATACTCCATATTGTCTTCAATAAGATTTGGGATGAGGAAAAAGTATCAAAAGACTGGAAAGAAAGACTTCTGGTCAAAATACCAAAGAAAGGCGATCTCATCAACTGTGATAACTACAGGGACACCACTCTTCTCTCAATACCAGGGAGAGTCTTCAACAGGGTATTGTTAAACAGGATGAAGGACTGCGTAGATGCCCAACTTCGTGACCAACAGGCAAGATTCCGTAAGGATAGATCGTGTACAGACCAAATCGCAACTCTACGGATCATTGTGGAACAATCAATTGAATGGAATTCATCGCCCTACATCAACTTCATTGACTACGAGAAAGCATTTGATAGCGTGGACAGAACAACACTATGGAAGCTTCTTTGATACTACGGCGTGCCTCAGAAGATAGTCAATATCATACGGAATTCCTATGACGGATTAAACTGCAAAATTGTGCATGGAGGACAATTGACAGACTCGTTCGAGGTAAAGACCGGTGTCAGGCAAGGTTGCTTACTCTCACCCTTTTTCTTTCTCCTGGTGATCGACTGGATCATGAAGACGTCAACATCTGAAGGGAAGCACGGAATACAGTGGACATCTAGGATGCAGCTGGACGATCTAGACTTCGCAGATGACCTGGTTCTTCTATCGCACACGCAACAACAAATCCAGGAGAAGACGACCAGTGTAGCAGCAGCCTCAGCAGCAGTAGGTCTCAATATACACAAAGGGAAAAGCAAGATTCTCCGATACAACACAGCATGCACCAATCCAACCACAATTGACGGAGAAGATTTGGAAGATGTAAAAACCTTTACATATTTAGGCAGCATCATTGGTGAACATGGTGGATCTGATGCAGATTTGAAAGCGCGGATCGGAAAAGCAAGAGCAGAATATTCACAACTAAAGAACATCTGGAACTCAAAACAACTGTCAACCAACACCAAGGTCAGGATTTTCAATACAAATGTCAAGACAGTTCTACTGTATGGGGCGGAAATCTGGAGAACTACGAAAGCCATCATCCAGAAGATACAGGTGTTTATTAACAGTTGTCTATGCAAAATACTTCGGATCCGTTGGCCGAACACTATTAGCAGCAACCTACTGTGGGAGAGAACAAACCAGATCCCAGTGGAAGAAGAAATCAGGAAGAAGCGCTGGAAGTGGATAGGACACACATTGAGGAAAGCACCCAACTGCATCACAAGACAAGCCCTTACATGTAATCCTCAAGGCCAAAGGAAAAGAGGAAGAACAAGGAACACATTACTCCGGGAAATGGATACAGACATGAGAAGAATGAACAAGAATTGGATAGAACTGGAAAGGAAGGCCCAGGACAAAGTGGATTGGAGAATGCTGGTTGGCAGCCTATGCTCCATTATGAGTAACAGACGTATGTAAGTAAGTAATGCAGATAGCTTTTGAGTGTTATAGAAGAATGTTCTTAGGATCCGTCTCAAGTAAGCTCACGACCTGTCGGTTGGAGTCTTTCTGCTGACACTGGTGAAATATTTCTTGTGAGTGGTCACAAGGCAGTGGGATTCAAAACTGGTCTTGAGTGGTACTGAACAGGAAAAGATACAGAATATTTCGAAAACTCAAATCTGGTGTCTATAAGTATGCCGAATACCTCTTTTTTTCCTAAAATAACGACTAATATTAATTTGTTTTGATGTGTAAATAAAGTTCAGTTTGATACATTACTGTTAAGTTGTCCAACTTATCTTGTAATTATCTATCATTTTTGTTTGGGTACCCAAGCGATAGGTCAAGGAAATATGAAAAATTAGCGATATATAAAGTTATTAAGAAAATGTATCCGGTCCGTCTAAATTTAAATGCATGTATCAGTAGTTTTACTTTCAATTAGACTAAATGGATGTATCTCTCCACAATACTATCATGCTATCTTACTCGACACATTCTTTCAGCTGTGTTGTATCAACGTTTTATTTTGTAAATGATTTAAAATGTCAGATGTAGTCAAACTCCCGTTCTGTCATAGACCATAAAAATGGTATAAACTGGACTATATCTCTGTATATCGCTTAGTCAAGCTGCGCTTTGAAAGATAGCTTAGTGACTCAAGTAAACGACAACAGTTAACCCTGAAGATTTATGAAATGGGATGATAAATTAGTCTGATGGAGTAGTATATAAGACATTAGTACTGTAGACGTATTTAAACATTTTGGGGAAAATCACAGTATTTATTTATATTTTCTTCAACTATAGAGCAATGAAACGTTTAAACTTAAGACGACATTTTATATCGATATCGCGAGTGATTGGCTTTTTGCTTTTGTTAATGTTCTTTTGATCTCTAAAAATTCAACCCATTTAATTCTATATTAAATAATATTTAATTCGTCGATGCAAAAAACGAATCTGGAGTATTTTATTTATGAACCCATAACTAATCCACGAAGTTAGGTAGGTGGGTAGATATTATAATTATTGACCAGGTTATTCGTTCGTCTCAGCTTTGCTACGGGATTTGTTTATGAATTCGGTTGTCATTAGACTAATCTTGGTTGAAATTCTGAGTTAGATTTATGAATCTATTTATCAGCGTATCATACCAAGTTGAATGTTTATATCTTAATTTTATGAAGGTTAAGTAAGAATAACTCCGAAATAAACTTGGTGATGTGTAAGCTCTTGCGAATGAAGTGGGTACTTTTGGGGAAGTAAGTGGGCGAATGTGTCGCTTAAGTCAACATTTTTGATAGCGTTTGTATTTATATTACTAGACGATACAAACAAGTTATTTTGTTTCATATATGTGATTACTTAATTTGTTGTGCTATCAAAGATCAAAGTATCAATATGCTATCTAGTGAATTGACCGCAAATGAACTTATTCGCTTTCAGAGAGCATAATGTAATGTTACTTTATGGTCTTTTAAGAGACCTTTAAATGTAATACTTCTATTTTAGTTTTATATTTATCTAAAGGTTTTTTAGATATTTTGCCATTCTTTCTATCCTAGTTACAAGCACTATGAGTCAGGCAGAATGGCTGGAGTTGGAAAGTGACCCTGGGTTATTTACTTTACTTTTGGAAGATTTTGGAGTCCAAGGAGTTCAAGTGGAGGAAATTTATGACTTGTCTAAACCTATCACTGAAATTGTTTACGGCTTTATATTTTTATTTCATTGGAACAAAGCCAAGAAGAAGGTAAGATAAACCACTTGACTGATGTTTTACTGATTGTGTCACTATGTATACATATATACTTCGTAATACATATTACTTTAAGATTGATTAAATACCTTGGATTACTAAATTATTTAAATCGAATGGCTTGAAGTTAATCATAATTTAATTTCGACAGATTCAAAGCCTTCGATTCGTAAGACAGTTATGATGTTCAGATATTTTAATTTCTGTTACCGACCCTTCCTCACTAGCTTCAACTTGTTTTTCTCATGCAGCCACTGTTAACATTTCAAACATAAGAAAGGCCGTTCTTTGGCTTTTAAGATAACACAGAATTACGTTTTAAAGCTTTAAATTCCCGGACTATCTTTCAAATCAGGTAATAGGCTCCAATAATGAAAACCATAAGAATTATCACGTTTTAGAGCATAACTTGTCAATATGGTTAACCTATGTGCTTTTCCATATGGGTATTTGGAGTTTTAACAGCATTTTCTCGAATCAGAATAGATACGGTTTTTTAAAATCATACGTTGCCACTAGCTGCAACTTGAAATAACCAAACAATAAGTTCTACCGAAAGCTTTCTAATCCCGTAGGAACAACTGGATATTCAGATGTAGTCGTTGTAGCGAGTAAGCTTCACATTCAAACTAGTGGACTAGATTATGCGAAAAGGTGGTTGTGTTTTAAAAAAATGAATTCCCTCCTAATGGTAACACTTTTCTGAAACAGTGCTCTGACAACCACCTATTTCTGGTAAGTACCATCTTCAGGCATGATGAGAGATATTGTCTAATCTATTAACCATTATCGGCATCAAAGCAACAGTGGATGAGAAAGTCTAATATGTCATAACTCTTTAGCATACAGTTGGGGCAGTGTAACGGCCTCGTTTACATAAAGTCTGGTTTACCTCCACTCTGCCATACAAACAGTGGTAAGGACTGTTGACAGCCTTTAACAGAAAGCTAGAGAACACTAACACACCTCCACGGCCTCTGCGTCAATGAATACTTGGGAACGTTCCTCAAATGGCTCCGTAGGGAAGGGAGTTTAAACATCGACTAGCAAAAGTCTACGCTATTGTCTTAAGCAGTAGTGAAGAATGAAAGAAAAGGGATGAAATTTGTAGAATTGGTGGATTACAGTAGTCACTTGTTCAAACCTATTGCAAACTATACAGTAACACATTTAACGGAAATCCTAGTAATTACTCGTTAGACGTCCTAACTTGTAACTCAAGTTTTATCTAGTACTGTTTACTAACCACCCTAGGAACAAATAGCAAGCACTAGACCTTTCTTAGTTTAAATGACGGATTGATCTTAGCTAGATTACTAGTGCAAACTATGAAACACTAGTCAGGTGCCTCATACTAGTGTAGGATACAGCCAGGACCAGCTCGTGATTTAAACTATGAGCTACAATTTGTACAAAATCTCTTATACTAGACCTTTCTATAGGTTCCGATCAGCCTACTATTATTGTATGTTTACCTAAATAAGTACTTACCTGTAAATTTGATAATAGTTGCCATTGTTTCGAATGCAGTTGCCTTAGAATTATAAGCTGTTTTTACATTTTTATTGTTTATTAAAAGGAATAACTGTATATACGCTTGGATTTTATGTAATCATTATTAAATTGCTGTTTTAAATCGATAATCACAGTTTTATTTTATTTTGATTTCCGTGGATTTTTTTGGCATTGAAGCCGAGCGATGGTTTAATGTTATTTCCTTCGTGATGATGTCACTCATCGACCAAGTACAAACTCTTGTACCTTTGTGTACTTTGTGTTAAGGCTGTTTATACTATCTGGCTGCCCAAACCGAAGTAGATGGAACCAAAGTCTCACTCTCAACCATCTAGTGGTTGAAAGTCACTGCCCCGCTGCTTTCCTTATATTCATAACCTAAATCAATTTACATTACGAACTATGATTAATGTGACTGGTTTAATTCAGTTTAATGATCATGTGCTGTATGTACTAATAAGCAGCCTAATTCTTCTTGTTCAGGTGCATATATATATATATATATATATATATATATATATATATATATATATATATATATATATATATATATATATATATATATGATTTACAATAATGATATAATAGTCATCGAGCGGATACGTTACGTAACAATTACATAATGACATTTAAATTAACATTGAGTAATTGGAAGAAAGAGGATTATTAATATTCAAAGTAATCAAGAAGTTGCTACGTTGCGTAATATATGAAAAAGAGAAGGAACAGAATTTTTTAATGGATGGTCAATAGAATAGTAGTTACGTAAGAATCAAAAGATGAATGTCGAGAAATTATAAAGTTCAAAAACAACAAAAACAAAATTGCAAAAATCAAAAAAAAAACCAAATGGAAGAAGTGTGAAAAATAGTTCTGTTGAGGTAAATCTTATACCGATGGCCAAGGCAGCGAAAGTGGTTGTGCAAATCTCTTTTGAATGCAAAGGTTAGATTTGTGAACATGGATTGCGATGGCTTCGGCAGTGTGCAAAAGGTGCGCTCGTAAATCATGTGGCAAATTTGATGGGATATGGTAGATAACCTTAAAAGCTCTATTCAATTCAACTTGATGGCCTGTGTCAACCAAGTGAGAGAGAATAGAACTTTTAATCACTTTTACCTGTTCTGTGTTTAACCACAACGGATGATGCTCTGTAATACGATGACGAACTTGCCGAATTGTACGCCCTATATAACTGGTTCCACAGGAGCAGTTGAATTAATGGATACACATGGATTTGGCGAATTCAGGCAGTCTGTCTTTATTGTTAATTCCTATTTCGGGGTGGTTGTAGAAGTTAGCATTTAATCTGGCTGCATTAAATGTTTTTTGTACAGCTCTTCTTAGTTTCTGAGTCACGATTTCTTCAGTGGTGTCATTTATGAATTGTAATTTTATAAACAGTACTTTCTTAGGGACGGTAGGTATCTTTGCCCTTGTTTTCATCTCCATCATGTGCTTGTCGATGAATTTCATAGGGTACCCATTCATACTAAGTAAGTTCCAAATATTTACCAGTTCATCCTCAATGGTGTCATCCGAGCAAATCATTCTGGCACGATGAGTCAAGATCTTTATGGCGACCGTCTGTTGCAACTATGCTCAGGTAACCATCTATTTATGGTAAACGCCAAGTTTAAACATAGGGAGAAGCATAGTCTGACGTGGAAACCTCCACAATCGACTCATTGATGTACTCAAATATATCATATTGCCATTAGCCGTCGTTGAAAGGTCTCGATAGAAGACTATCTCTCATTCTGGAGCACACTTTTAGACTCGGACCATGCTCTATTTTGAGCACGTATTTGTCTGCATCCTACTGGACATAGAAAATTCACAGCAAGGGAACCCCTTTTCATTTAACTTAATGATGAAAAGGTTGAGAGTATATTTCAGGAACAACTAGAAAGAGAAATTTAGTCAACCGTGAGAGTGATATCCATCCCGACATAGCTTACTATGATGTCCAAAGGGCTGTGGAAAAACAGTGATTTCAGTGGTGTCTACAGAACTGACAGGTGCTCGGAAACTCATCCCGTTTGGCTCAGAACACGATGAGGAGCGGGGAAAGGTTAAACATAGGTTGATTAAAAAAAGCTACACAATGGTCGTAAGCAGTGGTAGATAGCGAAAGCAAGAGATAGGGGAAAGACAAAAGGTAACAGAAGACAACTGTTCATACTTATCAAGTAAACGGGCATTAGGAATACGACTGTTGGTGGAACTATCTCGAAAAAAGACGGGACTATTATTCACTCAATCCAGGAGACTGAACTGATAGGCAGAACACTTTAGGGAACAGTTCAACTGGATTTTAGCCACATTTCTGTTGCCCACTATCTACAAGCAACCTGAATGGCAAACTAACTCAAGTCCTCTAACTCTTAGTGAGGTTGAAAAGGCTATCAGTAATTTAAAGCACGGGAGAACAGCAAGGCCTGATGGAATAACCATTGAGATCTTTAGGAACGGTGGTCCAGTTTTAGCTGAAATCTGGGGACTGGACGTAATCCTGTATGACTGCCCTTGATCTCTTATCGTCCCAGTTTGTAAGAAAGGACAAAATTCCTCTTGTGTGACAATCATAGAGGAGTCGTTTTAACTAATATAGTGTTTAAAATAATTACCTCAAAAATACTTCGTCTAAGTCAGTCAATCAGCTACAACGTAGGACCAGGCACATATATGCACCGGTCTAAGTTGCCATATCTCATTGGTATAGCAAGATGAACACTGGATTCATAGAAGCAGTTAACCCAATGGCGGTAATATATAAAAGAAAGATTGCATATAAGGAGATAGTACAGGAAGAAAGAATTAGTTCGTAGAAAGGTATAAAGTAGTTCTAATCTTATGGTTAAGGAGGATGACAAAGAGTCTATATACCGACGCCATTGTGATCGATTCTGAGCCATGTCACCCAGAGTCTCCAACCATTGGTTGCGATAGTCACGCGGACCCCAACCAAGTGGTCTGCATCTACCAACATGGCTAAGACTAGAAGGTAGTGACTTCAAGCACTGATGCCACGTTTTGGTTTGGCCGCCCCTAACTTTCTTCAACCATCCCCAACACTATTCAGCATTGCGCGTTGTGGTAATCGGTGTTCAGGTATACGTCACACGTGGTTTAACCATCTTAGTCGATGAAGATTCACAACCTCGTCAATTGATTTACCATCATTCCCTAATACCCTGCGTCAAACATCACTATCACTTACCCGGTGATTCCAGCGGATGCGAGCAACATTTCTAAGACATCAGTGATCAAATACTGGAAACTTACGAGTATCTTCTCTTAATGGCCACGTTTTTCAGCCGTAAAGTAGAACAGAACGAACTGCCGCATAGTATACCTGTCCCTTAATTGATAGAAGGATATCTGGCCTTTGCCATTGGTGACGTAAGTTGGCAAAAACCAAACGAGCTTTTCGAATTCGTGCAGAGATTTCGTCAGACACCAACCGGTTAGGGCTTCCAAGATAAATGATGTTGTCGACGCGTTCGACTACTTCACTCCCTATCCTTAGTTCAGGTGTTGATGCAGGCCAGTCCTGGGGCGACAACTTACATTTAGAGGTGGAGAAGCGCTTCCCAAACATCCTGGCATTGTTACTCAATGCCACCAAAAAAGCTCGTCTAACTAGAGCTTGTGAAGAGCAGATTAAAGAAAACTAAACTGGTTTCCCACCTAGGGGTGAGTGTATAGACCGTATATACACTCTTCGGAGGGTTCTGAAACATAGGCATGCTTTTTGACGTATGACAATAGATGTACATTAACCTTGCACAGGCTCTCTGCTCGAACGCTAGTGATTGAGTAAGAGCTTATGGTGAACTTTTAAAGAAACTAGTTCGAGTGTTGTTCGTCAAGAATGTCCACTCTCCCTATTTTTACGTCAGGGACATGCTTTTACAGGTAAAACGTCCATCATTTGACTTCCTATGGGTTGATCTACTCCCAGGGGATCCACTTGTTGACTTAGACTGCACAGAAGACATACTTCTGTTTCTAAGTTTCTCATATTTGTTTTTATTTCACTAATTTATATTTTCTTCTCTAATCGTATCTTTAATTAGTAATCTTTCTTATTAACACTGATACTGTCACTACCCCTACTATTCTGAGATTTGGCCCGAAAATTTTGTCTGTCTATGCTAATGGGATATAGCAAGTTGAAGCGATGTGCATTTGTACCAGGTTCTGCTTTGTGACTGACTGACCAACTGATTCTCCATTATTTAGTCTGTCTCGTATATGAATGATTATCACCAGAGAAGCTGAATTGTCAAATGAATCCGCTTAGGTGTTGATGATTCCTAGGGACAATTAACTGGAAAAAAAGACTTATCCATGTAGAAAAATAATCACTTGTATGGAGAAAAAAGAAACAGAATAAGACGAATAGATTATTAAACACCATCTAAACTTTATGGTTGAAATTTCAGGTTTGCAAATCTTCATCTCAGTGTACTGTTTAATATTTAGTATGATTTTTATTTTGGATTATTGTAAAATTAATGTCATAATACATTTTTATATCTGTTTTGAATAATTCTTAGCCATGCCGCCGTACTGGAAGGAGTTCGACCGGTTCGGTAACAAATACAATTTCTCCGAGTTCGTACACACCTGTTTCCATTTGTGATGTGCGATCAAATTCAGTTACACCGAAGACGGGAAATAATGGTTCTCGTCACCGTTCAGCATCTGGATCCTGCCAGGATATTATTACCACTCCAGAGTCCAGGTCTGCTGGTGAAATCTCAGAATGCAAGTCAATGACTCCTACTTCGGACAAAACAGAGATTTTCTTTGCTCACCAGGTTGTGCAAAATTCTTGTGCTACTCACGCCCTACTGAGTATTTTATTAAATAGACCTGAAATAAATATAGGACATATGTTAGCTGAATTTCAAAAAGCTACTCGCTATTTATCACCAGAAGCTAAAGGTCTTGCCATCGGAAGTATGCCACAACTTGCTCAGGCACATAATCGACATGCTGCAAAACCACTAACAGTTTGTAAGAACGAAACAATATCCAATTTGGAATTACCTGAACCAAGTCAAGCTGCAGCAACCGCAGCAGCAATCGCTAAGGCTAGTATAGGAACGGTGAATTGTGTGAATTCATCAGATTCAAGTCCTAGTCTCGCTACTACAACAGGATCTAACGTAACAGTTCCCGATACATTTCATTTTGTTTGTTATGTTCCTATTGGTGGGTTTTTATATGAACTAGATGGTCTTACATCTGAACCAATAAATCATGGTCCGTTAAAGAATCCAAATGATCAATTTGCTTGGACTGAACAGTGTGCTGATGTTTTGAAGGAACGTATGCAAGAAGTAAGTCTAAATGCAATGAATGCTATTATATTAAGATATATTTTCTTAGCTGTTTCATTTCACATTACCTTTACAATATTCTTAACATTTTATTTATCCTTTTCATAAACACAATAGTATAATAAAAAAAGAGAAATACAACTTATCAGTCGTTCTGCGTTATATTGTGTACCATATACAGCATGTTTGGTTTTTTCGGTAACGCCCTTGGTACAGCCAAGGGTAGGGTAATATTCTCTCCTATTTTACATTGTGTCAATTGTCTATTCTCTCTTATCCCCGTTTTGTGCTTTTATTTGCTAAGTAGTACAGCAGCTGGTAGAAATTCTACCTTATCTAAGCTAGCTGAAATAACCGACTGACTAGTCGAAAGTTGAATGCTAATACTGAATATGATTTCTGAACCAACCTTTCTGAAACCAAAGCTTCTGCTCAAACTGACCTCTAACGTTCATACACTAATGTAGATCGGACAATAGAAAGTCTTAACATCGAAGTCTGTTGTCTAGGACTCAGATTGAAGACAGTGGTAAAGTACTACACATTCACTCTCCACCTGTCAATTCAAAAAAGCTTACTATAAGTGCGTTTGTCTGGAGGGCCCTGTGGCATCTTCGTCTTGTTTAACTGGTGCCCCAGAGCAGAGGCAACACTAAGCGACTGGATCCCCATTAGCAGTCGATTATGTGCTGTTAGATTAGAAAGCTTTATAAAAGTCAGAAGAAATCGGTGTGAGAAACGATGTATTTCCGTTATCGCCTCCTAAACTATGAGAGATTGCAGCACCATTGTAGTCAAGAATGAGTTCTACCACCAGTTAAGTGATCTTCAGAAAGCGTGTTCGACATATATTGTAGTACTGACCGGATATTCGGATGTGCAGATTGGGCATCTAGGCACAGAGGAGAGTCTCTTGGGTGGCCAATGAGAACTTGTTGGTCTCAGGTCTGATGAAAATGACCATCTCCCGCAAATGTACGCAAATTACTACTTGTTTCTGGCCAACACTAACTATCGGCACAGACATCACAGATGTACTTGATATATTCCGACGAGAATAATGAATACTAACTGTTGGGATCCACTTATTGACTTATACTATACATATACTTTTATTGTATAATTGTTAAGTAACTAAACTATGCATATTCATGTTTCTATTATTATAAACTTTATTTTGACCCAAAGACTATTATGGTACGATTTACCGTTCTTGAGTTATTCCCAGTCTACTAATTACGATCTCTCATATTCACATTCACTTTTGGCCAGATCTTGTACAAATGCTGTTTTCTATTTCGTGGTGCGATGTTGTCTGTTTGGTTTGTATATAAACCTAGTATGTTTAAAGTACATGATTCATATCGTGGAGGCTGAGATAGGTATTTTGGACTCAACAGACAGGCCTAGGCAGGAAGTAGGACCAATAAGAACTCTAGATTACTCGTACGCGTTTATGTGTCATTTGTCCAGTCGATAAGTCACTGTTCTCTAACTGGCGGTATCATTACGTTATATATATTAATAGGACACAAGGCCACAATTTATGACAGTACTACCTGGCATCCTCTTCCTGCAACTTATACCTGGACTTGGATTGATCACATTGTGATCAACTACCGCTGGTGTGATCGTGTATAAGACTGTCGCTCCTTTCAGAGCGCTTATCTGGACTCTGATCACGGCGTCATTTGCGCTGATCTTACCTTACCTTTCAGTGGCCAATAAATTCATCATTCTGAACGAACCAATGTAAGCAAATTGGATGTAGTTTCTGTTGCCACTTAATATCAAACCGAACTAGATACCAACTCACTGGAAAGTATAGATGAGCACTGGCTGCATTTTCATGACCGTATAAAGATGGTGAGTAACGTCGTTTGCGGCTTCGCGAACCGTCCCGCCCATAAGGACTGGTTTTTTACAGTCTCCTTACCACTCCTGAAGGCACGTCAGTCTACTCCAGCTAATATCATGTTTAACAATAAACATAGATTCTTGCGTGAGGAAACTGAAAAGTCTGGTTGGTCGGGGCATGTTAACGAGATGAATTCAGCAGCCGCGTCTGGTAATTGCCGAAAACTGTCTCAACTTATCATAGCCAGTGGGTGCAGGAAATATGGTATAAGTGAAACAATCTACAAGTTTGATGGGATGCCATTCAATTACATCCGACGATGCTCTGGACTATGGGGGTTCTTCAGGGAACAGTCCAGCTAATCCCCTGTCCCAGGAACACCGTTTTGGTCGTAAATGTGTTGATCGTGTCTTTACCCCTTCCGGATGTAGAACAACAACCTACTCATCGCAACCTAACAATTGTTGTGCTTGCTGATATCTGTGGCACCTTCGAATCGTTGGACAGGACTGTGATATTGGGTTGTTTGTTGAAGAAGAGTGTGCTTGAGAAGTTTATTAACATTTTGAAGGCTCCGAGTGCAAACACCTTAGGGAAAGTGAAGGCATATAACCACTTCTCTCCATTACTCCATTCAGTCAATAGAGTTCCAAAATCCCTCTTCAACTTTACGTTCTGGAAACAGCTTTGGTGGAAGTGGGTAATGGTGATGTGAATCTGTTATCGGGAAAAAGATTTCGACCTTGCGTGTGTGGATGATACTCCCTTACTGTACGATAATAGTCAAGGTATGCAAACTGCACTTAATCAATCGTCAGTCAGTAATAACGTGGAACTTCGTACGTACGTACATCAGTTCGAGTTTCCTTACCACATTAGCACAGAGATGCAGTTATCGATTCAAATCTCGTAGTGGTAGAGGTAGTGAAAGTATAAGCAGTAATCGGAAAGATTAGGGTTTGAAGATGTTATTCGAGGAATATCATCCAGTGAAATAAATTTGGAAAGAGAAAAAAAGGGAGAACACAAAGAGTGGATTCACCTAAGCCATTGCCAATGATTTTGAGCCATGTCATTCAAGTTCTCTAACCATCGGTTGCTATCGTCTAGCGGATCCCAACCAGGTAGTCTACACCTACCAACATGGCTCAGTTCACTTGTCAGTGACTTCATAGATTTGTACTGTCGTCAATCAGTGTGGGTTGGTATGGCATATGCTTAGCACCGTCTAAGTGTAAAGTATTTTGACAAAACTGGCAGGAGCCCCTACCTGCACTCACTCTTGGTATTGAGCAGTTAGAAGCAGTTGGGAATTTCGTGCATCTGGGTAGCTGTGTGTGTTTGTGGTGGCGTGAGTGATTAGATCAATTCATGTGTGATGGAATCCAGAGGGGCTTATCCGAATCTGGCCGATCTTTGGTTCCGTCATGATGTTATTCTGCGTGTAAAAGGTCGGGTGTACAACGTATCCATGAGAGCAGTTCTGCTCTGCTTTGAAAACCTGGCTTCTCCAAGTTGATGACTTTAAGTGACTCTTTGTCTTTTATCGTCGCTGTCTACTAAGAATTGTCGATATTTAGTGACAACGCTATGTTAGTGGTGCGGAGGATCTGAACGTGTGTTCAGGGACAGTGACGATAGTTCAACTTGTGTCACACTACCTTGAAACACGAACTTGGGTGACTTGGACATGTACTACGAATGTTGCCCCAGCGGACTCCATATTGTGCATTATGTACCGATACCAGGACTGGTTGGAAGAAGGAGGAGGTGGTCAGTCTATGATATGATGCTGTGGTATGGAAGGAAGCTGTCGGTTCATCACAACTCCATGGATAGGATCCTAGAAATAGTGCAACATGTTTACTTGAGACGTTAGCAGACTTGGATCAGAAATGAAGCTGATGGTGGTCCTACTTTAGATTTCTTTTATATTCTTTGCGAAAGTGGAAGTAATTTTGTTAACCGAAAAAATTCTTCCTGGTCATATTTTTTATCGACACTGTCTTATTGTAAGGTATTCTCGTTTACATTTTATTTTTCATCAATTTATTTTGATTGCATTCTCTCTCCTTGAACTATATGTTTATGATCTCATTTTCTTTTGTGATGCATGTTTATTTTGGTACCTGTTTGTACATATGTTGTTGTGTTTTAAGAACATAAACAAATTCTTTGTAGTGGGATATATGATCTAATTTGTGAAAAGAGATATTATTTGGTAACTGAATAATTAAATGATCGTAGCAAAATAATTGTAGGTGCTGTAATAAGTTTTATTTATATGCACGTTCTATATCTTAACATTTTTTCTAGAGAAGATTCATTCGTTAGAAGTTCTATTATATTTAAACAATGCTTATACATGAATTATGTGTATGGATTTTCTAGATATGTTTACTAAAATATTTTGGGATTACAAACAACTAGATATTTTGTCATGCGATTTATTTTTTGAAGGTTGTTTATGATGTGCTTAGAAGTCACTGATATCAATCATGCTAATAATGCTCTACCATGCAGTGTTTTGTCATCGTCATTATACGCATACTGTCACAATTGATTTTTGTTTCAATACTTAAAATATACTTAATGTATAAACTGAATGTAATTTTTTATTACTAGTAAAATACTGTTAATAGTGAAAATTTTCATTTGGAAATTTGGAAAAAATAAGAAATCGAGCAAAGAGATTTGTTTTCAATTAGTTTTTCCTCATTGATCTACACTAATAAATATGTGTATGATTTACTACAATGAAATAATACTAGTCGGGTAGTTACGTTACGTAATTCTTTAAACACCCAAATCAGATACTAACTCTTCACTACCCTTAATACTTTTGTGTAGATTCAAATAGAGGGATTTTAGCAACTAATTATGTTTACTTGTTGCTCTTTGTGAAATCAAACACATCTATAAGAACCTGATTAATTGAGCCACTTGCAACTCAAGAAAAAAAAGTAAGGAGTCAGTAATTAAACTACTGAACATCATAGCCAATATATTAAACGAAACTAGGAAATTTTATATTAGGATTCACAGTTTTTGGAATAGTTTAACACTTAAAAACTAGGTTTTTATTTCATTTATGTACATATTGTTTAATCTTAAGACCAATAATGATTATACAACTGGTATCATGAAGACACTTGTTTTCAATAGACAATGCGCTTGGATTTCGCAGATATTAATATGTAGAGTACATTCATATTCTTGATGTTTTTATGATAAAAGACCATATGTTTTTAATCTATTTAATCATTTATGTGTATGGTGTTTAACGTCGATAGAAATCGTATACATCGCTTAAAAAATCTATAACCTTTTTTTATTTAAAATATAATTATATTTCCATAGATTTGATCACTTTTTATTCAATTCTTTGTTTTCAAACACCACCTTCGTGATCATAGCAAGATGTTCGGTATAATTTATTAGCTGTTGTACCAGATCGTCGTGTAGCGCTTACAAAACGTATGCAAATGTTAAAACGCAATCGTCAACTTATTCAAGATATTCTGTTCCGTATGTGTCAGTTTGATCATACGTCCAAATCGTTACATTGTTCTAATAGTAATAATATTACTGTTACTACTGCCAATGCTACTACTACCAATATTACGACTACTACTACTACTACCACCACTGTTTCTATCAATCATGAAAATCCACATAATCAATCTAATTGTCATCATCATCTTCATTCTCATCTTATTCAAGAAAAATATAAATCAAGTCCCTCTGAACATTTTATCAATGATGAAAACTGTGTACACCTGCCAAACTCATCACCATCTTTATCTCTGGGAAAACAATATAACCCTCCATGCATAGAAAAATGTTCACCTACAAGCACAAATATGCATAATTGTACTAATAGTATTAATACCAATAATAACAATCTTGATAAAAACAAGTAGGTTTTTACTTCCTTACTATTTAGAATAATTGCCTAATGAGCTTTCTAATTATTCTTACATTTGTTTTTAGAGAAAAGATATTTTTGTTGGATTTGTACTACACGCTTTTTTATTGAACTTATTCAGTGTATTTTATGTGCACTTTTTTTTACTGAATATAGGCAAATTATGTGCATAAACATTCACTGTCAACTGTTATTTGTTTTACTTTATTGAAGTATAGGCCAATCAACGGCATTTACTTCGGTTGTTAAATTGAGTTGGTTATTGTGAACTAATGCTTGCTACATAACTTACAATAGTAAACGTTTATTATATATATATATATATATATATATATATATATATATATATATATATATATAGTTCCAAAACCTTATACACTATTTCGTGTATCGACAGTACGAAAAAGTATTTTGAAGAATCCAAAGGCAACCAAGAATCTTTTGGTTTTTTAGTAGCTATCATTTTTTATTATGTGTCCTGTTATCTTATCTTGATAAACTGATTGAAAGGCATTATGTTCGAAATTTGCTACATGTACTTTGGTTTGCGTAGCCTCGTAGTATGTTATTAACTTTTTGTGGTCCAATGTCTAACTCCAGTTGAACCGGAGAAACTATCGTTATTGATAATATACATATGTGTCTCTCCATCGACGTAGCGTGCTGCGTTATGTTCGTCGTCGGTGGGCTCACCACTTTTGTGGCCCATCGACAACATCTTACGATCTAATCGACGTCAAAACGGAGGCCACCACATAAATAGACTAAAAGTTAAACACAAAATATTCATAATTTGTCCTATGAAAGAACATTTCCTCAAAGGTTAATTATCCTATCTTACGAAATTTGAGTGTTCATCCCATAAATTCTGAGTTATGAACTGAAGCCTACAAAATGAAATATTCCCAAAGAACACTGTTGGATCGGCCTGAAATTAGTATCCTATGAACCTTATGATCAGATATCTGGGTTAGGCAGATCAACAGAACTAATCTTTCACCCTATGGAAGTCATAAATCTCCATTAGAAATAGACCTCTTCCCCTCTTCTAGCTTCATCTCAACAACAAATTTCCTCGTTATCTCTTGACTTTTTCTTTTCTGATTCACGTAGGATATAATTTCTTAGCGTGGTGCTGATATGGCTTATCTGACTCAAGACCGAGGGTGTGTCTATTCAAATTACATTGGACTCACTACTTTTTTGGGCATCTGAATCCGTAATTTAATAATCCCTAATAAATATATATATCCCGAATTTACTTTCATACACTGTATTTCCCCTTAGCCCATTTGTACAACTATGGTATTAAAAAGCAAATACGAAGTCTATTTGGATATATATTCCATACATGCGAATACACCAACAAATCGTGAGTGTAAGATGAGTAGGTAAAGCGTTGGGACTGGCTATACTTCAACTCCGAATACTCTTTAAATGAGCTTATATATAGTTTAAATAGACAGTGAATAAGATAATCAATAAACAGACATATGTACAAATAAAACGCGCATAAAAACGTACATGTATAGACCTCAATTATGAGAAGTATAGTTTTTGTGAGAATAAAAATGATTTATTAGTCACATACTGTCCGAATTATTATTATCTATCCAAAAGTAAGTATAAATTCACATAGAGGTACTCGTATATGTCACTACAATAGCACCAACTCTTCTACAGCATCTCCATCGTTTACTTATTAATTATTAGTTGCCATGGGACATCTAGTTTTATTCCATCTCTCCTATTAATACTGTTTGGATTCGACCATATATGTAGGGCTTCGGCTGTTAGTCTTTCTTTGTTGAAATTAAAGCCTTTTTGAATGATTCTTGCTCCATTCATCATTCAAAAAGGCTTTAATTCCTACAAAGAAAGACTAACAACCGAAGCTCTACATATATGGGCGAATCCAAACAGTATTAATAGGAGAGATGGAATAAAACTAGATGTCCCATGGCAACTAATAATTAATAAGTAAACCTGAACTCCTTCCATTCTATCTATCTATATCATATTAACTAATCAATAGATAATACATTCAACGGTTCAAATCGGTTATCTTATCTGAATATGTTAAACAATTGACTGGAACATTAAAATAACACAAACTTTCAATTGCAAATACATTCCTCTTTGAACTCAGTCTTTTATCTTGTTTATTTATCATCATTTAATGCATGCTGTGACATTTTTGATTCATATCATATATAAAATGATATGTTTTCTTAATATTCACAGACCGAAGACAATATATAGTTGAATGAAATTTCTCACTTCACTTACGTATACACATAATCTGTCATCTTAATACTTCGTTTCACACCGCAAGTCTCTTACACACTAATGTAGATACCTCTTTTAATCATTGTTCACGTTGATTGGATGACTTATTCAGTATACAGTAAACCGGAGAACCATGTACTTATTTATATTCAATAATTTGTTGTTTGATTATATTTTCCTTGAAAAAGCTTGAACCAGATTACCAGGCGAAACACTGGATTTACTTCAAATTCTTTCGCTGAGATTTTACAAATACATTCTTCCTCTTTATTGCCTCACATTAACTCGGCGCCCAAATATGGTGAAACTATTCGTTCAAATTTAGACGAAAGTTCTTATTTAATAACTTATGAGGTTTTAGAAATTTAGGATCTAAGGGAATAGACCTGTGTCGTATCACCCCAAGTCTCTAACGATTGTTTACGATAATCACAGTGACCGATATAAATTAGTCTGGACCTACCTACATAGCTCTGTCCAACATTTAATGTCCTCATGGATTGATGCCATGTCTCAATTGGACCTCCCCTAGCTATGTATTCTTGCACTGACCATCGTCATGTGTTGAGGTAGTTGGTGGATGGGCTTACGTAATACATGTAACCATCTCACTCTATAAAGATTTACTACCTCGTCATATGATTTCCCATCCTTAGTTAATACTGTGCGTCTAACTTCAGAGTTGCTAACCTGATGGTCTCAAAGTACACGAGGAATGGTTTGCAACATCTATGATTAATAAATATCCTCTATTTTCTAAGGTCACTTTTCCCAGCTATAAAGTAGGATGAAGCTCACTACTGCACAGTATACTCGGCTTTCAGATTGCAGCGGAATATCACGGCAAGTTATCATAGGTCAGTCAAGCTTTCCTGATTCTTGTCGAAATTTCATCAGACATCAGCCCTTTTAGGCTGATGGGACTTCCGGGTCAAGCAAAGTGGTCGATACACTCAACCAATTTACTCCCTATGATTAATACATACATTTTTATTTAGAGGGAGAGAACCGCATTCCAAACATGCTTGCATTGTTGCAAAGGACGATCAAAATACTATGTCGACATCTTTATCAATCAACTACGTCATCTGCACATTCTAAGTGAATAAGTGGATCTGGTAGGGGATCAATCCCCAACAAGTTGGACAACGAAAACGTTATCCTTACGACAGAGTTAAGTAAAAGTGGAAAAAAAGGACAACCCCGATGAACACCCTGAAGTAACTGATTTCTATTACAGTTCTCCATGGGCTCTGACTCGACCAGTAGTGTTCTAGTGGAGAGTTTGTACAAGGTTAATGTATTTCTTTGGTACGCCTTTCAACGATAAAGTTTGCGATAAGACCAATCGATTTTCAATTGAGATCACGAACCGATCAATGCTAAACCACCATTGAGAACCTGAAAGCACTGAACGGCTGTTTCGTCCCAATATGGGACTCTTCAACAATACACGCCTGCCATCCCTCACATGGGACTCGAGCCCAGGACCTTGAGCCTTGTGCACGAACACTTAACCTTTAGACCGCTGGGCCGGCATCTAACGGTGTTGATGTCTAGCTTCATATGTTCACTAGTGACTAGCTTCGAGAGGGAATTCTCAGAGTTCTAATGAGAAGCCGTGACCAGCGGAGTCCAATCCGTGCCAGGTAGAGACAGGTATCTACCTCAGACAATGGAAGACAGTTGCGCGATTGCGTAGATTGGTTGAATTTAGACATTAGCACCATTGGATGCCGGCTCAGTGGTCTAGAGGTTAAGCGTTCAGTGCTTCCAGGTTTTCAGTGGTGATCTAACATTGACGGGTTCATGATCTCAATTAAAACTCAACGATCTTCACAACCTTATACTGATTTGTAGTGATATATGGAGTCAAACATCGGCTTAAGGTCGAGAAATACAGTTATAAGGGTCCGAGTCGGTTAGTATGTCTGTGTTTCAAAACCTGAAAGAAGGGTTAATATTCGATCTACGCATCGAAACCCGGGTCTCAGAGCAGCCTGGCTTTCTTGGGTTTGTTTTTCACGAGCTTCTGTCAAGTGTCGGGTCATTAAAGCTAGTGTTTTAGGTAGCACAGTATTCCTCTGTGGTTATATTCTTACTTTAGATAAGGGGTATATATTGAATGAGCAACTAAAACACATACTACATCGTGAAGTGGTACTCTTAAAAAGTGTATAATTAGTGTAAAAGGAATCGAAGTGAAAGTCATATAAAATAACATGAATCGTTTGATATCATATGATGTTTTTTGTGTGTAAACAGTGGGACGTGTTTTCTACATTCTTTAAAAAGATAAATCATGATGAATGAGATAATCACAAATAATACCCATATTAGTCTATACAACATATTATTTGACTAATTTGGTTGGTAGTTTAGTTTTTAAAACCAGTTATGCAAAATTATACTTAAAACTGAATGTTTCTTCAAACTTTTATCACAATAATATACTGTTCTACATATTTTCATGAATGATTTTGTATTAATAACTTGTTTTTAACAATATAATTCGAGTTTGAAGTGAGTGGTGGGGTAACTTGATTCTGTTAAATAGCTAATGTAAATTTATCCATTTACAGGATAAAAAATATTGTATCCCCTTTTTTATTTTTGCAATTGTCTATAATAATATTCTTGGATAATGTCATTGAAAAAAGTATTTTAAACGTTTATTTTTCTATTTTTTTAGACATGAACCATCTGATGACTTTGAGAATTCACGTTCCATCAAAACTCGTTCAGCGACACGTGCTGCCAAACAAACAGTTTATGAGAACCACAACTATCCTGAGTCAGAACTAAGTAAATCAATACATCAAAAACATAATAATAATTCTCTATCTGGTACTATTTTAACTGATAGTATACATTCTCCTACCAATGATGATTACAGTACATTTTGTTTTTCATCTCGTAAACGTTCTTCCTATTCATCACCAAATGAACATAATGATCCAGACTGTTGGGACTGTCAACACAAAAAGCCTTATTTACATATGCCTCAACAGGATGATATCAATAATAATAATAATAATAATAATAATAATAATAATAATAATAATAATAATAATAATAATAATAATAATGGTGAAAACGGTTATAACTGTAATTCCCAATTAGAATATTCTCCGAATACAAATAAAATAAATAGAATTTTCGCTTCTTTCATTTCAAATAATTCACCGTTATCTCTTACCGTACTTACTGAAACAATGTCTAGTACGGTTCGTAAGTCGAATATCAATAAAATTTCTCATTCAGTAGATGATTGTAAAGAATCAAAAGGGAATCTTCAAGAAATACAGGATTTAGAGAATGGTATACCGAATGGAATTTCCATTAAACTACAAGAAAATTATTTTTATGATGTGAAGGATTTACATTCACTTGATCACAGTTCAGATCAGTTAACAAAAGTAAGTGCTTTGTGATGTTCTTTTTTGTGTATGATTATTACAAAGTCATTATTCATTAATGACATATTGAATGTAGTGTTTTTCAATGTGTGGTAAAAAGGTAGTCTGTGTGGACCAATCAGGTCAACACCAACATAGCAATCCCCTAAATTTCAGCTTGATGGATAGAAAAATATAAAGACATTTACCAATTGACTGAATTATCTTGGTGAGCTAAAATAGTGTGCAACAATGATATTTTGATTGAGTTATTTTTCTGGCAATAATTAAGAATAAGAAGGAACAAGAAATAAGAATTAAAGCTGATATCACTGAACGACCACTATTTGTAAAAAGTTATAAATTTATGGATCAGCCATTTGATTGATATAGAAAATCAGAATCCGACGGAGAGCAGAGATCTAGTTGATTCTTTGTTGACTAGAACCAAAGTCTTCTTTCCTTCCCTGCCAGTTTGTTGTGTTAGAGTCATTAAGGCGAGACTGATTTATGGACTACCTTTGAACGAATATTAAGCGACCGTAAGAAATATTAGCCAATCAGCAAACAGTCAGTATAGAGTAAAAATATGTTATACAAAACCAAGGAAATAAAGTGGATACACTTCTTATATGTGGTTCAAAAACTTGTCAAGGTTAGAAAAAGTTTCAGAGGTTCTAAAATCACCATGCATGCAGTAGAGGAAATCATCCATACGGCTACAGAATAGTCGGCCTCTGGAGTCATGATAAAGTCTCAAATACTCTTTCAGCCTCGACCACATAGTTTCAATGTTGTTTATGTGCACTCTGGTTGTTGAGTGCACAAAATGCCACTTGTGGATAACGACACGATGCACATAACCAAGCCTATGTAGCAGTCTGTGAGCTCTCCAAACGTCCGTATATATTGTAGTACCTGTCTGCAGCCAATGTTACTGGTGCTTTTATTATCCAGTTCGTAATTCGCCTTAGGAATTATATGCGGGGTTTTCATCACGAACTGACATCGGCTATAATGCCAGAAATTTATTTAGCCAAATGTTTGGAAGGCTTTCGCGTTAAAATCCGAGATCTATTATCTTATATCTGATTGCTTCGTCCACAAATTGTAGTCTCGTCGTTTTATTTGTTATAGTCGCTCGATTATCACGTTTTGTACAAAATTCCCTATGAACCGATCGTACGTTAGCATTAAGCACTGAAGTTGGCGACGTAGCCTTGAAATCTCTAAAGCGCCCCTGATTGACTCGTCCGTAAATTAGAGTCTCGCCATCATTGATTTAGTGTCCGAAGTTGACCAAATAGACTTCATTATGGTTGTTCTAATAGTGTTCCTGTGTATTTTTTCCGATAAACTGGAACATGACAAACAATTTGAGATCAAGCAGATGATAATATGCTTAACGTTCACAGTACATAGATAGTCACATTTCGTTTACAAGGTTTTCTGATTTATTATCTCACTATTTTTTCCAAAATAGATATTTCAATTTATTGACGTATACTAGCACAAGGATAATGTCCTATAGCTTGTTTCCAATATTGTTTCTATTGAATTTTTAAGTAGTAATTTCGTATTCTGTTTTATCCTGTTAATTACGATTTGTATTGAAAGTAGACGGCGAGACTGTAATTTATAGACAATGAATCTTTAGTGACCCTTTGAAATTTCAGCCACTTGGAAAGCAGTTGATACAGAGTAAGAATTTATTATGCAAAACCGAAAAATCGGAGTGGATACACTTTTTTTCAACATGATTTAAAAACGTGTCAAGCTAGAAAAAGACTGGGGTTCTGAAATCTTAATGCATACGGTACAGGAACTCATCCATGTGACTTCACAACAGCCGTAATAACCTCGCAGAAATTCTTTTAGCCTCGACCGCATTGCTTCTATTCTATTGATGTTTACTCCTGTGATGGGGTCTGCAAAATGTTTCATGTGAAAGATGACATAATGCACGTAACAAAGTCTAAATAGGCATCTATATTCCGTCCAGTCGTCTATGCTATTGTGGTACTCGGTTGCACATACTCCTCCATAATTGGTATCAGCGTCTTAGCCTGTCGGTTTCCGAGGTTTTGGAAATGTTGCTTTTGCGATGATCTATCTTATACACCAAAGATCTGCTAGGTATACTTAAGGAACTACTACTTACCCAGCCTTCTCTTACGCTTCTTCTGAATTCAGGTTTCCTAATGATTGTTACATCTATTTCTACGATCCTTCTGATTTTTTTATTGCACATATGTCTCTGCAGTACTCATACCATTAAAATACCGAAGCTTCGAAAACATCTGCAAATATTGCAGCCAGTGTTGCTGGTGCTTTTATTATCCTGTTTACAACAATCAGCATAACCTGTCTTAGTGTCAATCAGAATCGAGTAAAAAATCCCCGTTCTGGAAAACTTCTTCCTCAAACATATATTACATCGAAACACCACATCGTCCAGCAATCATTTGAACACCGCAATCAGAAATAAAGGAGCTTTTGAGCAATCCCATCTATTGTAGCCGCTCAACTATAACAGCCTTCTTGAAATCCGCTGTGAATCGATCGTACGTGTGCACTGGGTACTGAAATAGGAGTCGTGACATTGAAATCGCTTACTTATTTCTGATTGGCTCGTTTCACCAGAGTAGATTTAATTTTGAATCACCTTCGTTACTTTATCGTTATTTATGTCTAAATGTAACCAACGTGTTTTCATCATAATTATTTACTTTCTATCATATAAATACAACTTGAGAATACTTGTAAATAATTACTGTAATTGAAGATTTTCTCATTATTTTTTAGGTAACATCTACATCTACAAGTTGTACAGAACTAAATTCTTGTAAAGTTAATGAACCTACATACTGTAGTCGATCAACACTGTTGGGCAGGCAAAACATTCCATTAAAAGAACTTACTAAACCTTTAACTGTTGAAACAAAGTTATGGTGTGATGCTACTTCAGAAAATCTAGATACAGGTGACTCGGAAACACCTGTTACAAATGACATATATCCTACAAATTCATCGATAACTTCATCTAATGAAATTTGTGGTACCGTTTTAGATTCACGTCCCCAAACACGAGCACTTACTAGAGCATCTTTAAAGCTAAATTCACTTAGTTCAGTACAAGCATCAACTGAAGAGCGAATTTCGATCACAAAAATATCATCAGATAATGTACAATCAAATAAATCAGTACTGATGAATCATGAATCCAGTTTATATAATTCAGATGTATCAAACAAGTATCGTTCACCTACAGAAATTTCCCCAATGACTACAGACTTAGCTGAATGTAAGTTGTTTTATTGTTCTCAGTTTATCGTCACAAACTATGTGTATATCAATTCAATTTCCAATGGTCTAGATCATCTCACCGTTGATGAATTGACTGGATTTCAATCAATTTTAGTCGACGTATGAATTTTTGGGTGTTTAAAGCGAAAGGTACTGGGTTCGAATTGGGGCGTGGACATCAACCCTAAAATCCTGGTACATCCAGCTGACGACTTCAAAATAGGATGAAACACACATCCTGGGCTCCACTGCTAGCCACATTTCATCTATTTTATATGTGTCCATCGGTTAAGATTTCTTATTGTGGTAATGTTTGTTATTCTCTCAATTATTATTTATACTCAAATATCTCAGAATAGTCTACTATACTGCTGCTATATGACATTTATGATAATGATAAAATAAAAGTGATGTTTTTTCTGCATACAAAATACGTTTAATTTAGTGAAAACGACTGATATATAAATCTTAATATTCTTAACCATGTATAGACTCAATTACTAGTATCATATAGGCTTAGGTTTATTTTTATTTTTATATTACTACAAGTAACAATGTAGTAATCATAATTAGAAAACAACAGTACTCGTATACAGATTCATACATAAATTCTAAATAATAAGTTGTGTTCTCAGCTTGAAATCGAAATAATCGGACAGTTAATTAATTTTTTGTGCCGTTGAAGGTCTTTATGTTATCAGGTTGATTGGTTCAATGATATGGAATATGTTGGGTAGAGTAAGAATAGTGCACAAGGAATAGCGGTTGCTTTCCACTCAGTACATCATCTCACTAAAACGATACCTATCCTTTGGCTAAAGACTTTATTAGTCGAAAATAAAACTCTACACATTTCCAACCAACATTAAATCAGAGTTAAGGAATGGGTGGCTGAGATTAGTCAAACCAAGTAGTAGAATGAATCAGAACTCCAAATAAGGTATTAACTTGTAAAACAGTTGTATAAAGTGTTGACGTCTGTTCAGGCCGAAATTAAGAAATGTGTCATAATTGTAGTACCAGAAAATGATCGTTCGGTTACAAGTCGATGTATGTATAGGATAGTCTGACAATTAAATATTAAACCATTGTTCAGCAAATATATGATTAAAATGCTTACCTGTGAATACTATTCGGATAGTACAAACCTCAGCCTTTGAACGGACTTGATTTAATCATTTGGTTTGAATTTATAACCAAAATGAAAGATTATTGTTAAAGATCATCGGATAATGGAATAACGTAGACATACTATACTATAACTCTACTAATCTAAAATTATAGTCAGTACTTACGACAAAGCTTCTTTTCAGAGTTCAAAAACAGTTTATTTCAGGTCAATCAGACATGTAATTGTTTGGTTTTGTATATCTGTTCATAAAGTAACCATGACCTATGAAGAAGTAATAATAATAAAATATTTTAATCGTTTAAGCTTATCTATTCATACAGTGAATAGTTTATTGCTGTGAAGAGAGTGAACCTTATTTTTTAATAGTATTATTGTAACATCTAAGGGATTTGTTAAACTATGTATGTAGTTACTGTTGTTCTGTTATTTTTCAACTTTCGTGTTAATTTATTGTTTCGGACGTTTTCTGTTTGTATATTTCACTTTTCTGTTTTATTAAAAAATTAGCCAACATTTCAATTTCATCCAGTGATATCGCTGGTCCAAATCGAGGATCAAAGTATCCAACAAGATCATCAACTCGAATGGATACTCTAGCTTCTCATAATTTAGCTCACCTTCGTTCAAATCCTGTTACTCTTCACAGTAATACGAGTCCTTCAAAAGTTAGTAGAATCACTTCTTTTGAACAGACTTCTACGGTTCATTCCACTTCTAATGCTAATACTAATACTACAAATATTACTTCAACATACTTATCACCGTTTACGTATGATTACATGAAATTGAAGAATTCACCAAGTTTATATCCTCCACCTTTAAGTGTGGAAGAACTGAATATCCTACTACATAAAATAGATGAACAAATAAAACTATGTCTTAGTGCTTTGATTGAAGAAGAAGAGAAACGTCGATCTTATCGTATTGATGATGCTAGACGTATACACAATTATGAACCGTTTATACGAGCTTTTCTCACTGCCCTAGCTAGACATGGAATGTTAAAAGATCAAGTATTATCTGCAATGAAACTAAAACATACCCCTGTTATTAATCACAATCATATTTCATCTATACAAGTATCAGACAGTTGTAAAAAGTCAAATGTAAAAAGTAATAATAATAATAATAATAATAATAATAATAATAATAATAACAGTAATAATAAATATGTATCTAATAAAATGCATACTGAACGCATTTACTCATTGACTAATAATTCTTCAATTAAAAAGAGAACTTATCTTTCAAGTTCAATAATAAATAGATTAACTCGAGTTAGTCAATCTACAAACAATAATATTCGTATCTCTCATCACTATAACGCTTTGAAATATCGCAAGCTACGAAGGAGAAGAAGAATGAGAGATTCTATTAGGAATTCAAGATCGAGTTGTACCGGAAAGGATACAGGTGTAGTCGAATTAAAATCTCCATTAGGTGAATCAACTGATTTAACATCATCTTATAGACCACCTGTGACGGATGAGTCATTGTCATCTATGAATTCCTCTGGCTCTTGTAATTTACAAAGTGTTTTGACTAACTCTACAACTACACTTCAAGCACCGGTTGTATCTACACAAAGTAAAAACTCACGTGCAATACGAATCAATGTAAATCAGCAACATCGTGACGAAACTGGTGAATCTACTTTACAATGCCCATTACTTATTTCAAATAGTTTATGTACAGATAGTTGTCAAAAGTCATCTGTAACTATTGATGAGAATAGCATAGTTGAGGGTAGTTTGGCTTCTTCAGCTGTGTCATCAGTCACACTAGCATCCTGCTCATCATGTGGTTCATCTCCTCAATCATCCAATTCATCCCGGTCAACTAATCTTCGATCCAATTCTTCAGGTGTAAAATTAAGACAAATTAAATCAGATGATCGAGTCAATACTAGACGTTCTTTACGACCGCGTGTCTCTCGTGAACATGCTTTCACACAAGATGCAAATAATTCAGCTGACTCTTTTAGTGTCACATCAGAGGATCCGGATACAAACAATAGTGGAATTAATTTAAGAGATAGAACTACGAAGTCATCTTCACGTACACATAATACTGACTGTAATAATTGCACTGTCACAGAATCATCTACTTCATCCAGTTCCCAACGATTTCGGAAACGACGTCTTCATCGATAGAATTTATGCAGTCATTTATATTGATCACTTCATCGTAATTGTCTTTCTATTTAGTCTTGGATACTTTGTCACAAATGCCCTTTTGTTACTGTGTGTATACATCGAAAATGTTTTTATTCGTATTGACTGTAAAGCTAATCTTTTTGAGAAAATATTCGGTCAGCCGTGAAAACAAGTCGTTTTCAGTGCTTGATTATTATCACTACTATTACAGGATTTTAAGTTAATTCTATTTTCTTGGTTCTTTTTTCTCTCATTGTCTATGTATATGCTGCATGAAATAGTATGGACGACGGATCCGACAGTATTTCTTTTACTTTTCTATTCCATTTTCTTGTTTATCTTTCTTTTTTTAATCTCCGTTGTCCGCTTTTAAAATGTAAAGTTATCCACTACTTACTGTAGTAGATTTTTCGTATCTTGTTACTTTTCAGCTCTTCTTAACCTATTTCTCATATTATACTTACAACAAAGTTATACTACTTATCAGTTTGACCTTGTAATCTGTAACTGGAAGCTTTTTATAAGCGCATTGTATATGTATATATATACATCTATATGTATCTATATCAACCCATACGTTTCATTTATTCTATATTTTCTTGTTTCAATTTCCAGATTTTTTTGTACATGTTAATCTCTTTTTTCCCATTATCATTGATACAATTTATTATTTTATTTCAAAAGTTAAAAGTTAATCTTCACGAAAGTGATAATTCCAACTGTATATATGTAGATGTTTGTACGTTTAACTGCATGTATACGTATATTTTACTGTATGGTGAAATAGATACATATGCACTCTTTCTTATCTCTTCAATATTAAGTAGGTTTCAAATGAATATAAATATTTGTATAGTTATTGGAATATGACCAAATACATCTCAAAATCAAAATCCATTTTTTCCACCTTATCAATCGTAAATTATTTTTAAAGAAAAATAATTTTTCTGCTTTTCTATTTCTGTCGTTCTTTGTGAATTATGTCTCTGGTTAGTTAATTAAACCAGTGATAGAGAAAAAGTTTTCAAGTTGTCATATATACATATATACGTCTATCTTTGTTAGTGCTCCAATTACTACTCTTCACTGCTACTGTTATCATAGTTAAGTAATATTAATATTTTTTGCTTTTCTAAAGTGTTTATTTTTCTTTTGAAGAATAGTGATTAATTTGACATATGAATACTGATAATCACTATGACTATTGTCCTTATTGTGCAACATAAATTACTACATCATTCTACTGTATTACTGACTCACTGGTGGTTTCTATTCTCATGTTTTTATTTCATATTTTTCTTTTATCAAAAATTCGAAAGCAGCAAAATTAATTACTCATATATATATACTCCTGTTTTTTTCTATTGTTCACGGGTTCGATTATATTTGTTACTTCGGCGGAAAAATAACCAACCGTAGAATTCAGACTACAGTCATAAGGTGAAAGTGAGAACATACTACAAAATAAATGTAGTTTTATCGATGTCAGCAATAATAGCAACTGTAATTTCTTGTTCAGAAATTTGAAGAAACTTAGTTTACATAATCAATCATGCTTTTAAAACACATTTCATAAATATTGTTCGTTCTTGGTAATCATAGTCAGTGAACTGTGTTAAGTTAATACTAGGAATTGTGTTAACTATTTAGTTAACTAGTCAACTCCAAGCGTTCTTGTGTAAATGCCACAATAAAGCCTTAATATATTTGTAATATTCAGTATGTTGGTCTATTTTTTATGGTTCTCGATAAGTAAGAAAGAAGTTGTAGTTTTATACTGCCTAGCACTAAATCATGTATTCGTGTACGTGTAAAGATTTGGGAAGTAATTCGTGTTTTTCGTGATGAACCACTGGTTCATGTTCGAGATCTTCAATTATACTTGGATGTACATTAGGGTAGTACCGGTGCACAGTACAACATATATGAATAGAAATTTTTTAATTCAGAGAAAGACTTGAACTTAGTTCTCCCTTTAGTGACTATAAAATTGATTGGATATTTAGCATCACTGATTTATAGATAAATAGGACATCGATTGTATAACTATCAAATTGTTCCCCAGTTCAGTGTTTTATCACTATGAGTTTAAGAGAAAGGCTTATCATTGACAACTATGGTTTGACGTATTAACCGTCAATGTTGCGGTAGATAAGTAGTTAAAATATTAACATGAGTATGGTCACGTATCATACTAAGATAGAATATTTCTACTGACTTGTCATATCGGCTCCATTGACCGATAAAGTAACTCGGTTGACCAAAATGGCCGAATGAAACTGGTCAATAGTCCATTATATAATGGACCTAAAACCCGTCATATTCGAAATAATCAAGATTACTTACTACATGTCATTCTTGATGAATGAAAGTGGAGATCATAAGTGTATAGAAGACAGATTTAAGGGTTCTATTTTAAATTTCAGCTTTTTAAATCTGGATAATCCCAACGTCTCGCCCGGTAAACTGGTCTGAGCATCAGATAAATGGCCGGAATTGCCAAAGATAAATAAGTTCTACAACAAATCAGCAACAAAATTACATTAGTTAGGAACAACGTCCACGGTTAACTTTGAAGATGCCTAGGTGTGTCGTCAAGGTTCTGAGAGATCTTGATGTTTGAATAGAAATAGAATAGTGGTTGCTGGCTACGTCATGAGAGCTATTGGTCAGAAAATAAGAATGTGGTCCCTTCCATCCATTCTCACCTCTACCGTCCGTGACATGACTCCAACAACAGACGTTCAATTATTTAGTCAGCTAAATTTGGATTTATCTTTAACCACTCTTAATTAACATCACGATATACTACCTAACCTACAACCTTAGATACAATTCGACGGTGTAGTTTGTTAGTCTGCCAGAGTTTTCGCAAGAACTAAATGGTTTAAAATCTTATATTGATGCAACCAGTCAGAAGACCCTCACCTTATACAATCAGGAACTATTTAAATCAATACTTTTTAAATTTCAATTATACCTCGACATAAAATTAGATTCTGTATATTTACAGTCGTTTATTGATTTTAAATGAAATAATTATAAGGTTTCCTTAATTAGTTTTATTCTATCCATCATTTAGAGGCACTCTGAAGCCTACAAAAGTTATTCAATATCATAGATAAACAAAACATTCAATCATGAATGTGACAGGAATTTTAAATACTACAATAAGTCAATAAGTCAGTCAGTTAAATGCGACGTAGAACGTGGTACGTATATACACTCGTTGTCATACTCCGTTAGCGCAGAGATGAATTTATTGAATTAAACCATACAGTGGTAGAGGTTTTAACAGTAGTGGTAATAGAAAAAACTAGGCATCGAGCCTTCAGATATATGAATTGAATAGTATCCTTCGCTGTAGTCTTTTTGACTCCATGCCTAAGTAAATTAGGTTTTACATAAGGAGCTATCAGATTTTATCGTGATATAACGGAATAAACGAGGAAATCACATTTTCTTAACTCACTGTGATTCTTGTTCAGAATTACTTCCTTTTTTAGTTCAATAATATAATTAATTAATATTTGTTTTATTTTCGTTATGATATTTTGTACAGTATAACTTTGATTTACTTCAGTGTGATGTTTATTCTAGATAAGCTATTGTTTGTATAAAATTAACCTGAACTATGTTCGATACATAAATGAGTGTATTTTCCACAAGAGTCGTCTTAATTTCGATGTTCTTAATTGTAGTTGTTCCTCGTTTTCAAGTGTAAGTAATGGGTGACAGATATAACAGATTAGTTTATCGTAAGCTAAAACTGGTTTGATCCCATATATTCTTTACAAACAGTCAATTTTGAATGGGATAAACGATTCTTTCAAGAATTCTAAAGCATATTTTGTTCTAATTTACATGTACGGTGAATAACCATATACGAATTACTATTTCTTATACCTAGTTGAAAGCTATAAATATACTTGATAAGCAATTTTTAAAGTATATTCACTACTGTGAAAAAATTAAGAGTATTTAAATGTATATATATTTATTAGTATACTTTATAATTATTTTGTTACATATTGTACTTATGAACAATATAATTATATATTTATATTTAATGATGATTGTGATCTGATTATCATTTGTAGTATTTCTTGAATTTATCATTCTATAATTTTTTGGTTTTGGATTGTAAGTTTGCATGAAATCAAATTTGAAAGAAACGAATACTACTGTTCCGCATTTTTAATAACTAATAATTTCTCAATCATTTTTTTCTTCTCAAAAAGAATTGGAAATCTAAATAATATTGTATAAAGTAATTTAGAAGTGAATTTGCATGTTTCTTAAAATAAACACATACGAAAACCTAGTAATATGAATACACAAAAAAGGATATACTTCAAGAGACGAAGAAAGTTTACACATTAGGACAAAAAAATGAGATAAATAATCCTTGTTTTGTTTTGTTTTTTTTTCCTTTTTAATTTTATGATTGAGTCGATCCCTGATGAACATTGTTTACCTAGTTTTAAAATTTAACATTGTATTATGTTCATAAAGTCTATGACAGATATTTTTTTTATCAGGTAAATTAATTATCGTCTTGGAAGTCTATTTGGTCGACTACTTGTTAAATATTTTGATCCTGCTGTATTGCGAATTTCTGTATTTCCGTTATCTGTTAGCCGACGTATATCACCGCTTGATAATGATGCTTTCAATGATAAATCACCTTGTCCTCCAGATTTGCGTTCTATTGAACGTCGGTTAGTAGATGATGTATTCAATGGAATTTCAGGGCGAATAGTTGTTGGAAATTTATTTGGATTATTTATTAATTGCTGTGGTCTATTTGCTTCTACTATCAATTGATCTTTAAGTGAGGCTAGCTGAAAAGACGAATGTATAAATGAAAATTTAAGAAAAGTATAAATTCAATTTTCGAACAAAAAAATTTCTCAACCGAATTAACCAAATGAAACATCAGCTTTTACATCCTAAAGCTAAAACCGGATCAGAATCGAAATATTATTGTTATTATTATAAAATGGGTATAAATTTAATAGTTAACTCGTCTGTTTCCGAAGTAGCAGATACTCGATTCAAATTCCAAAATATATATCAGCACAACTGTGGATACACTTAACCAACGAGTCCAACATAGGACCAAATTCTTCTTAATTCTTCGTCACTAAATACTAACCGATGTCACTTTCATCTATTCCTAACTAACTAATTCTTGGAGTTCTAGGGAGAAACCGTGACCAGTAGAGTTTAACCATGTCGGCTGTGAGGCAGTTACTCACCGAAGACAACGAAAGATAGTCACTCAACATCTTGGGTTGGTTGAAGTTAGACAGTGACACCATTGGACGGCGGCTCAGCTGTCTAGAGATTAGGCGTTCGCGCGCGAGGTCGAAGGTCTTAGGTTCGAATCCCGCGTACGTGATCGTGGATGCTCACTAATCAGAAGTCCTATACTAGGACGAAACGGCCGTACAATGCTTCCAGGTTTCCGATTCGTGATCTAACATTGGTCGGCACGTGATCTCAATCCCAATTATTATGGTGATTAAATTTCAATTTACAATTTTTTCGATATTATGCAAATCAACTACCTGAAATACAACTTTTAAAAAGTGTCAAGTTCAGTAACTAAAAAAAAACAATGTAAATATTATTTTTATTGTCATTATAAAATGCAATAATAAGTCTTTGAGATGGTTAAGAAGTTAATTGGAGTTTTAGTAAGGGAAAAAGCAGTTCCATATGTATTTAGATTTGTTTTTAAATTAGAAAACTTTAAGAATATTTGAATAATGGCAAGATTCTGTATATTTTCTTGAAGGAAATGAACTTCGATTTTATACACTTAGATAACTAATTCAAGTTAGAGAATATATTACAGACTATTATTGCAGATTATAAAATTACGAATAAGTGAAGAAGGATAGATTTTGCATTTGACCATTTCGATTTTCTTAGACGAGGATAATCAACTTCAATTTCAAATATATTAATCTTTAAACAACAGATCCTATCTGAATTTTTTATCTGTTCGGGCAAATAGTTTCTGTTTTCTGTTACTGTATTTCTCTAAACATGAAATGCTTACTTGTCTCATTTTATTTCTAATTAAATTTAGGCATCAGTGTTCCGAACAAAATCTAATTAAACTCTTGTATGTAAACAAGTGTGTAAAGTTTATAGTTTCGAGGTTATTTTGTTGTAAATTTTATGTATATGTTATCTAAAAAAATTTTATGACTGTACTCACTGTAATTATTCAAGCAACAATTTTTTAATTATTCGGGATATTAGATGGCGGGATAAAATATTTTTTTAGTTTTATCTAGATGTTAATCTGCAGTAGTATTGCTAAACGATGAATATTTCTCAATCCATCTATTTCATTCAAGATCTTCAGAATAAATCTTTCATAAATGAATTCTGCAGAATAATCCAAAGTTCTAGATCAACAGTGAATTCTTAAAGTTAATCAATATGATCGACTGTTTTCAATTAAGTCAATCTTAAAATCTTTCATTTTATGGTTAACTTCATTATACATATAAACTAGGCCCAGTCTTAAAGGTTAACTTAAAAAATAAACGAAAAATTATCACTTGATAGTTATCAATGCCAAGGTTGAACTTGGTATTTTCAAATAAATTGAGTATTAGGTAGGAAGTTAATTATTTATTTACTTACTCTGAAGAAGTGGCTTACATTAAGTCACCAAACTTTTGAAATACAATTTTTCTACTCATTGCGATATAACAAAAAATATATTTCCTACAAGAATATCACTTATTTGAAATAAGTTATCGTGATCTTTAAATTCTATCTTAAACTTAAGTTCATCTTATGAAGGTAACGTTTTATTTAAAGCAATATCAGTATGATAACTGGATCTTTCGTTATTATTAATAAGAATTGAAAACTTTATTAATGTAGAATTCCATATTGATATAGATAAGAAAATACAGCGTTATATAATAGTACTTAATGAATCAATTTTTAGAAAAAGACAACTATATGAAATCATACTATATTGTTTAGTCAGTTTTAATGTAAATGCTTGTGAAAAATGCATATATGAGCAAGTGCATAATAAAAATAAATATTTTTAGCAACTTCGATTACTATAATGATAGGAATATATGTATGAAAGTGTTTTACGAATTAATTAGTGTTACATTAATATATTGTGCATAGATAACGACTCCAACATGTAGGTTTGTCTTATTTAAGACAATGAACACATTTTAAATTGATTGAACAAAATGAAACAAATTAGCTTTAACCTACCTTAACTTTTAACTGTACAACCTTTAAAAGAAAAAGATTTGTGATTCTACGTGTTTAGGTATAGCTTTAAAAATATGATAACTATCATCATTCGGAATAAAATTTCAGAAGACTGAAGTATGTATAGAATTAGTGAGTGAAATGTAACAGGATCTCATTAAAAATCTAGATATAATCGATGCTATATCGCGAACTGATTGAAACTGGAAGTGTGTATCAGTGGGAGCAGACCTAGTGGTTCTAACAGTTCGCCGCTAGTTCTGAGATCCTTAGACTGACCACTAGTGGGATTGTGGGTGCACAATGCTAAAGAGCCCCATACTAAGACTATACGGCTATCCAGTGGACTCTCATTTCTAATGATACTCCAACTGAGACCAGTTTCTGGCGAATATTACTAACAGATCAAGTTAAAATTTAAAAAATCTCATTCATCTAAATGATGTGAGTGTTCATTTTTGATTAAATTAGAATCTATCAAATAAAGTCTCATAGTTATGACCTCTACATACTAAGCTACTTCTACATCTGCTGTGCTAATTTTTTTCTAGTTATTCAGTTGGATCGAAATTATGTAAATAAGTCTTTATTCAGAGATTAATAACTTTTTTATATTCTCTTTAATGAAATGAACAGTCATCTGACAACATATAAAAAAAGAGATTACACACCAGATTCTATCATAAAATCAAAACTCGACCAACAGAGATTGAACATATTAATCCAAGAATAAACATACTTTAAATTTTAATAAACCTAACAATAAGATGACGGTTGGCAGTAGTATTTCTTCGGAATATTTCTTTTGGAAATTTTTGTATTTTAATGGCTCAACTCTTTACATATTTTCAAAGATAATATTTTCTCATTACACCTTAGTAGTTACCATCATTTATTTTGTAAGAAATTATTTTTAGGACCAATTAACATACGGATTTATTAACAAGTGTTTTAAATCCCATAAATTAGATTACATATGTCGACTATTGAGATACAAATTCTAAAATGTATATGTATTTCAGCTCCAGAAGTATTCTTTTAGTGAATTCAATGATATCTGGTAATGAAATTTGAGTGATTTTTCAAGTTCAAGTTTCTACATAGTTTACTCATATTCTGTCAGATGCGCTCAGAAATATGCTTTAAATGTGCATATTAATCGTTAGACATTGATGTTAGTAATATATTCATGAATTTGATTAGGTAAACACTGTCATTTTGTTTAATACAAGTGAATATATAAAAGCTTTAGTAAGACATTGTCGTTGTTGATTCAAAATTGTAAATCCAGTAGATGAACAGTAGTATTTTGGCAGCGTGATTTTTTAATACATTAGTATCGCGTATTTACAATATCTAAATGATAATGCTAATTAACGCAACTTAGATGGTTAATGTATGAGAAAGCAAACCAAATTCCTCAATTCGCGAACATTTTTACGATCAAATTTGCAAATCCTAAGAATAAAAAACTACTTATTAAATTCATTTCAAAGGGTAAAGTCGATTTGATTATTTTGATGAAACTAGCTGCTGGTGAAAATATGAGTTCTTAAAAAGTGATAATAAACTTTAAGCAACCAGACGAAGTTATAAAAAATATTTTATACTAAGAAAGTGACACTAAGTTAATTAGTAACAAAATTATCAAATATATTCATAATGATAATGTTATTTTCATAAAGTGATAGCCACGGTAAGTTACACAAAGATTTGTTGCATGAATTTTTCTACAGATTGATAATTTTAAATGACTGTTAAGTATATTATCACCAGCAATGTAATGTCTTTCTGCTTGAAGGATAATTTGGGAAAACTGTCTATTTCAATACTTACTTGATCTTCCAAAGCCCTAACACGCTGTTTGTGGGCGCGTTCGCGTGCTTCAAGTGCACGTTCAGCTTGAGCTTTGCCACAGCGCAGTCTTTCTAGTTCCAATTCACTTTCTGCTCGATGTCGACTTGCTAGTTCATTTAGGTGTTTAGCATGAGCTTGTTCCATCTCAACCAATTTGGACTACAATTTAAATAGAAGCGTTAAGAGCAATAGTAATAAATTAATGAAATATACTTTTTCTACCTGTTTTATAAATTATCTACAGATAAATACTATCTGTGTATAGTTGAAGTTAAATTCTGTTTTAGGATTAACTGAGTAGGTTAATTGTTTGATATAATTAACTTATTGGGTAGCACAGTTCAAGTTAAAGCTATTATGTTATAATCTATATATGAATCATTTCTTTAAAATGGCTAGTGGATTTTATTTCTTAATCTGATCTTTATCATATGTATTTGGTCATTTGACGAAGAGTTGAATTTAAATTGTTCTGTACCATAAATCTAAAAAACAGTATAACGATTCTTCAATAGAATAAATGAAATATGGCTAACACTGGGATCTAGGATGCATATATGGCTAGCTGATGAATTGTAACAAGACTAAACCCGCATCGTGAATTGCCCTGATAGCCATATTTTATTTACCCTATGAAAACTTCCGACATAATGGCTACATATATTGAGGCGATCCACACATAGGACGCACATATGTCAACTAAGACAGATCGAAATTCGGTAAACTAACAGATCAAGTTATATCGATTTTTATCAGTGAGCAAAGAGACGGTGAGGTTTGTCCCTTAATAAATTATTTGTATTTAATAATATTTCAAACAAAACTAAACCATAACCATTACTGTTGAATAATTAATAACGTGTTCGGAATGTAGAGAATCCAATCTAAGTAATGATGCAGTTATCGATTTTGTGAAATATATGAAATCAACCTGATTAAATTTTAACTACTTGTATAACAAGAAGGATATGACACTAAAAATGAAAATTATATTTGTAAAAACCTCAGCGATTCAACTTTCAGATTTCTACAAATATAATTTTCCTCTTTAAAGTCTTGCGTTAACTTGGCGCTTAATGTTAAACTATTTGTTCAAATTTAGATGTAAATTCTTATAAGAAAGGATTTTTAACTTTGCAATTATCGGTCTTTCATGAAGATCTTTCCATATTAGAATATTCTTGTTATTTGATATCAAGTAAGAAGAACTACCAAAAGATTAACGTAACTTCTGCATTTTAAGTTGACAAAAACCATGAAAAATGTGTACCATAGTATGTTTTTTGTGAACGCTTAACGCTACACATATAACGAATAAATTTTACAGATTCAATCAATGGATTTGTAGTGGAATATCTTCGAAATAATTCTTAAGGACGACGGTGTATAAATTTCAGAAGACAATACGAAGCGTTGACTACAGTTTATTATTCTACAGTGCCGATCACAAAGCCAGAAGTACACAAGAAAATACGAACAGAATGCGAATGTGAGCGAATTATTCGAATTTAAGAATGAGATATATATAAGAAAGCGAATCAGTCATCATGTGATTTAAGCGACAAACATTTAAGCTAGTAAGAGGGATGTGTGTAGGGTATAACACGTAATTCAGCATACAGATCCTACAGATATGATAATATTTATAGATATAGGCAAATCGTTATTGTTTGAACGAAACTGTCTGTTAAATAAGTCAATTTAATAACTTAATGAAACTAAACGAATAAAGACTCAAGTGTAGGTGAGGTGCTTTAGATTTACTAAGCGATGGCTAGATAAGCTCTTTAACGAATAATGCAGATGATGGTTTCGAAAATACCTTAAGTCTTTTCACGATTATGCATAGGTTTTATTATCAAAAGGAATAAAAATAAACGTTCATACACAGTAATCATACATGTACACAATTTCTAATCCCTTTTCCACCTAAAACCTGAGATTATTGCCATTGAAACAATACTACAGGACTGTGGAATCGGAAAATCGATCAGTACAGTCAGAGTATATCATTACTTACTTACTTGGGCCTGTTACCTCTCGTGGAGGAGTATAGGCCGTCCACCAGCACTCTCCATCCAACCCTGTCCTTGGCAATCCTTTCCAGTTGCTATTCATCCTTTTCATATTTGCTTCCATTTCCCGACGTAGTGTGTTCTTCGGCCTTTCTCTTTTTCGTCTCCCTTCACGATTCCAAGTGAGGGCATGCCTCGTGATGCAGTTTGGTGATTTCCACAATGTATGTCCCATCCACTTCCAGTGTCTCTTCTTAATTTCCTCTTCATCTGGAAGTTGGTTTGATCTCTGTCAGAGTAGGTCATTGCTGATAGTATCCGGTCAGCAGACATTGAGTATCTTGTGCCGACAATTGTTTATAAATACTCATACAGTTTTGATGATGTTTGTAGTAGTTCTCGAAGTTTTAGCTCCATATAGTAGGACTGTGTTGACGTTGGTATTGAAGATTGTGACTTTGATGTTGGTTTGCAGACAGTTGTTTTGAGTTCCATATGTTCTTCAGTTGTAGGAATGCGGCCTTTGCTTTGCCAACCCTCACCTTTACGTCTGTATCAGATCCTCCTTGTTCATCAATGATGCTCCCCAGGTACGTGAAAGATTCCACATCGTCCAGAGTTTCTCGACCAAGTGTGATTGGGTTGGTGTTTTCCGTGTTGTATTTGAGGATTTTGTTGGTTCCTTTGTGTATGTTGAGGCCTAATGATGCAGAGGCTGCTGCTACACTAGTTGTCTTCATCTACATTTGTTCATGTATATGAGGTAGGACGGCAAGGTCATCTGCGAAGCCCAAATTGTCTAGTTGCATCCAACCTGTCCATTTTATTCTGTGCTTTCCCTAAGATATCTAGGTCTTCATAATCCAGTCGGACACCAGAAGAAAGAAGGGTGAGAGTAAGCAGCCTTGTCTGACTCCGGTCCTCACTTGAAATGCATCTTTCAGCTGTCCTCCATGCACGACTTTGTAGTGTAGTCCGTCATATGAATGCCGTACAGTGTTGGCGATTTTCCCGGCTACTCACACCATAGTGTCGAAGAAGTTCCCATAATGTTCTCCTATCCACACTGTCAAACGCCTTCTCATAGTCAATGAAGTTGATGTATAGTGACGAGTTACACTCGACTGATTGTTCAATAATGATCCGTAGCGTCGCGATTTCGTCTGTGCACGAACGATTCTGACGGAATCCGATCTGTTGATTTCGAAGTTGGACGTCTACTGAGCCGTTCATCCAGTTGATCAACACTCTGTTGATTAAATCATACTAAGTCTAATTTCCTGGTTCCTTTTATAAAATATCAACCATGATTTTTAGAGACTGTATGATTGAAGCACGTCACATGCAAACATATAGTCTTCACATCGTTAGTTGCTGATTACAAACTCGGAATTTCAACTTAATTTACGCTAGAGTTGTGTTACATTTTCCCAAGTTTTCAAGCTGGGATACTATAAACTTATTTTAAAAGTTAACGTAGTTCAGTTAGTTTTTATAAGTAGCGGTATAAGGACATTGTAAATGCATTACTAGTTTAAAGTGTTGGTGAAAAATAATCTCTCATCTATGAACAATTGTTATCAGATTTATTAAGCAATGATTTCGAAAAACCCATATGAAGATTCATGAAAAATAAACCAATTTTTATAAAGATATACGGTAATCCTCTTTGCAAAACTAATAACTGCCTAACTAATTAACACGTTTAGTATTTGTGACCAAAAGCAGTACTAGTGTAGTGAACGAGAACACAGAAGGGTACACCCAAATGCATTTTATTAACACAAAATTACAGAATCTCATGGTAAAATCTGTAAACCATACAATACTTCATCTGCGAAATGCTAACCAATTGTCTCAAATTTGATTGTTCTTTCGCTTCCACATCAATCATTGTCTGTTCTCATCCTCTTCTCTTTGATTTTAACCTTCTGCCGCCAGATATTTCACTTTCAATTGATGATACATACTACTTATATCTGTCGACATCAGTAACACACACCACACTAGCATTTCACTTCAATGTGATGAACTAGTTAAAATCATTATAATGTTTATTTTAAGAACGATTACCGTCATATTTGGTTATTGTGTAAAAGTAAAACGTACATTTCCTTATTTATATTTTATTTGTGTCTCAGGTCACTTCAGTGATGAAAAACAGACAAATTTCATTTCATTTGTAAGAACACTTACAATCGCTTCCATTTTTTTCACTGTTCTGCTTTATTCCGTGTAAATTTTGAGTGGAATTTTGTTAGTGTTGTTACTAGTTTGAGACAGTTCTTGACAAAACATTAATCTATCAATCATGCGGTAAAAAGTCTACGGATAGTAATAGTCTTAACTTTTTTATTACATATGGCTGATGAAAAATATATTTGAAAAATCGAAATATTTTATCTCACAACTGACTGATAAAGTGATTGTCATCAGGTAGAAACTCAGTATTTTCAATATAAATTTTTTATTAAGCTTTTGTTCTAGTTATGAATCGATTAATCATGTGAACTAGGTCTTAAAAATCATGCTCTGATTGTTTTATTACTTATACATATATACTGGAAGTCTATATAGAGTACTTTGCTTATTCGCCTTGTATTATAATTACTACTGATGAGCAAAATCTTTAACATTATGTGCTATTATTGTTATCTCACGTTTATCTCTTTTTGCTCATATTGTGGCAATGTCTGTTAGTCTAATGAGCTCAAGACATTTATTAGTTAGGCACCGAATTAATCTCCCCTTATCAGTCACGTTTATTTTTATTTGTAACTGAGTTGTTGATTGAATATGTTTTCTTTTCGACAATCTTGTATACTAGTTCAGTTAAAATAACGGTAGAATACAGATGTTTTCTAAAAAGTTAAGCATTTCTTATCCCGGTATGAAGATTATAATATAATTGTTTAGATTACAGGTTTTTGAACTCGTAAAATGCAAAGTGAAAATTTTGATTACTCATTTGAATGAAATCAAGAATAAGAATTAGAAATTGAAGATATTTCAACTATCTGATTAGATCATAGTAATTGCTTAAGCAATGAGAAGAACTGTAAGTTATTGCGTTTTACAGCAGATATATTTAGAGGAATAAATTTAATGATAAACTAAAGTGATAAAACCTACCTGTAAAAACTGAATCTGCTTTCTTCTATTTGAATTCTCTTCTTCCAGACGTCGTAATGTTATTTCTAACTCCGTACGATCAAGATTATTCTTATTCACAATTTCTTCGTTTTGTTGTTTTTCTCTTTCGGCTTTTTCTAAATGTCGTTTAAGATTATGCCTATCTTTTTCTAGATGGGTACTTGATCTCATTAAGTGATCACGCATATTTTCAACATCTGTTAAATTGCGCTGTAAACAGGACACCCTGTCAAATAGTTCTTGTCTTTCTTTTAAAAGCTATAAAAATAGTAAATGTTACAAAAATAAATCTAATTTTCTGAATTCAATGTTTATTATTATCAGAATATGATCTGTCCTGATGGTTCATTTTTAATGGTTCTACACTTTATCCTTCTATATGTTAAACTGCAAACTTTGGTTTGAGATAGGAAAAGCATCTAAATACTCTGCTTGAATCACACAAGGTTTGTACTGTTCGAGATTCTGTAATTAAAACTGTTAGATGCTGATTATTTTGGTGTTTTTTTCTGACGTCTCTTGGTCTTCTTATAAGTTTATTAATATCGAAGAAGAGTTTAGGTGACGTATTATATAAAGAGGCTATATGTTTTTGGTATGACTCAGTATTTACTTTCACTATTTATGAATGTTTGTATACTACTTATTATCCTTTCTTGTTCTTAATTATTCCTTCATGAAATTTTGAGAACGATTTTACCGTGTTGCAGAGAGTGTTGAAGTCAATTAATAAGGTACATAGTGAATCTTTTGATGTTATTATTAATATGATTGCGGACAAACGTTTGAAATTTTGGGAACTGCTGGAACGCGTTACTTTATCAGATAATAAACATTCACTTCCTTCAGATCTTTATTCCTGTACAAACTCCAGTATGCAAGCAAAGTAAAAAACCTCTGCCATACCTTATCTATCACATCTATTATGCAACGAACAGTTTGTAAAAGCCGATTTAATTAAAAACCTATATACTTGCACATATTGATAGTTTACAGTTTTATAGATATTTATTTTTTGCTTTTACAAATATTTCACTTAACACCATATTATTTTATTTACATATTTCACGTATATGTATATGTATATGTACATATACTTTTTGTGAACGACAAAAAGAGTAAAAAAAAACTTGTTGGAATGTATACTGGGGGAATTTCGTACTGTACTAAACATATAATACTCAATAAAGCCATTATTATTATTATTATTATTATTATTATTATTAATTATTATTATTATTATTATTATTATTATTATTATTATTATTATTATTATTATTATGTAATAAGAACGAAGACTGACCTAATTGTACTGTTCAGTGCTTTAGATTCTATTTATTTCCGATAACAAGAGCTACTTTATTTTCAGCATACTATCTTAATATCTTGAATCAACTTTGCTCCTTTCAGTCGAAAGGGAAATTTATGTTTTTTGAACATAAGTAGTGTGTGATAGAAATATTATACAAAGCTGTTAGTCTCAAATAACATACATGGGTTAATCACAACTGATCATTAGTATCTTTATATTATCACTGATTTCGATAATGCAATGAGAATTTAAATAATCAATTTAAATAATAATAAGTCTAGGGAGCAAGTTATTGGTCAGTAATTAGATATTAATAAATAAGGTTATGAAGGCTGCATTAGAAGTTGGTCTGGTAAGTGTTATTCTTAAAATAGTGATAATCACTGACTTATCTCATTCATTCAAAAGCTTTTCATATCTTTTATCTTCCTCACTGAATTTTCCATTACCTTTGTTGGTTATCTTTTACCAAATATTATTAAGCATATAAAAATAGACCCATGTATTATTTATGACAACAACTAATGATCGAATATAGCAATAAGAATAAGTTGATAAATGAATAAAGTCACAATTGGAAATGAGCTGAATTCTCACTCTTATAATGCAAAAATAGAAAGGACACCTTATGGAGCGTTACGAAGATCCGTTTACAAAAAAATCATATGGAACAGTCAACTGGCAGGGTTCTGCAGCTAAGTCCTCATCAGCAGATGAATGGATTTGATGATGTCTCTTGCCTCGCAAACTCGGAGAACTTGAATCGTTGGACTCATAAAAATATTTTTTCATTAAGATTTGTCGATATAAACATAAAGCCAAAACCTTCCAGAGAATCTGAAATCTTTATACAACAGAATGTGTTCCATATTTGACGACATCTTCAAGGTGGTAATCGCAAACGCCAAGAAAAGAACATTCTATTACTGGAACCCTGAGTATCATTTCTCCAGTAGTTCATTATTTACCAACAAATTAGCGAACAAACAATCGCATTTAACCTTATCAACCTGTATTTATCGCTTCTGTTCTAATAAAGTAAGACATAATGGTCTCTCGGTAAACATTTTGTTCAAGAAGGTCCAATAACATTATATTGGATGGTAAAATAAAGTTAAGGAGTGGTTGCATGAGCACGATTATAGATCATCCTGTGAATATTCGGACTTCCAACAAAAATAGACTGATAGTTTGAAGTCTTTTAGAAAGCAGATAGAAGTCTATCGAAATGAGCGTTTCCAGCTCTGTTTTCCTGAAGCCGTTGCTGAACACACGAAGTTGCTTAAACTGTGAATTTAAAAGGTGCTTGCTTAACTTCCTGGTATATATATATTGAACCAAATTCTCGTCTTCATAACTAAATGTATTTTCCATTTACTGTATATTATCATTTTAAATAATCCCAAAGTAGTCAGTTTTTACATAATCACACAAAAAGCATGATAAATTATTGTGGGAATCATAACCTCAATAGTCAATTAATTCGTTGAAAAAGTATCTCTCGATCAAATTTCGTCTTTAATATTTTAGTGGCAGCTGCAAAATAACCTACATGCTGTGAATTTCGTACATCTTGTTTCAAATAAACTCGCCCATTTGAGAGATGATAACTGAAGTATTGGGATAAATATTAAGCTTTTTTGATTTTACTACATAAACTATGATAATAAAATAAGGATTACCATCCAGGTTGTATACGTTATCTGACAATGGCCTTAAGTTTTCATTATTATTCAAGGGATTTGTAGTTATTACTTATCGGCTTAATAAAAAAATATTTTACATTATGTAAACCGTTCGAAATATAGACATAACATGTACGGTTTTTTCGGTCAAATAGTATTAAACATACTCTATTAGCATTGTGACTGTTGAAGGAAATGGAATGGTACGAGGGCGATGCATATTTATCTCATTGTCAATGATATTTTCTCCTTTATTATTATTAATGTATACTTCTGAGATGTGTACACCTTTGTCACATTTCGTTTAAACCTACCGTTTGAAGTTGTTTATTGAGTTCTTGTTCATTTTCTTGACGTTTATCCAAAGTATTATTTGTTTGACGAACTTGATTTTCAAGCTCTCCTCGACGCAATTCAGCATCAGCCAACTCACTTTGTAATGATTGTATTCTTTCACATGACTGTTGGTTTTGATGTTTTTGTTCATGCAACACACTACGTGTATTATCTAATCGCTCCTAAATTTGAATAAATAAAAATTAAAATATGATTACTATGTAGGCTGAGTTTACATCATCCTAGGACTTTTAGATCATGCCAATTATTGTCCTCCAAATCTTTTTAGAAAGCCAAAAGTGTTCGAAACGATTTCTAGTCAACTGAGAAATCGTGAAAAATCCCTCAAGTTTGCTTTTTTTAACATTACTCGACGAAAGAATGGTTTGTTAACAACGTTATCATTTATTCCAAAATCTATTAAACCTCAAGAGTTCTCCGTAATATTTAAGTATCCCACTGTTTAATTTTATAAACTAGTCTTCAAGTAAAACTTTTGATTGCATTATGACCTATTTACCTGTTCCGGTTTCAATAACTGAGTTCTGAACTTTCAATTTTTTATCACTAAAATATTATTGGTGTTTCTTACTCAACGCATGGCATGGACTTTTTCAAAGCCATCTATATTATGATGCTAACAAACGGTTATTCTTTCGGCATATAATTTAGTTTTTAAACTACATGTTACTGATTGTTTTGAACAAACGTCACGAAAATATGATAGAAAAAGGGTATTACACTAAAAATAAGTTATATTACATTATACTAATTATTTTTTGTGAACATATAGTTGGTCATTACATTGTTTTATTTCGAATTACTGTTTCTGTACGTTTCGAGTTGTATAATCTCAAAGATGGCGCCACTGTAATCAAATTTCATTGTGGCAAATTTTTACTATGAATCTTAAATTGCACTTTTCTTCAATAGTGTTGGAGAAATCCAGAGTATTCCTCGAAAAAAAGGTCAGAGCGGCCTTGAAAACTCTGGAAAACACTTTATCCAATCCACATTGAATGGAAGTGTCTCAAATATATAAAGAAAGCGAAGACTTACGTGTCGCATTTCTGACTGAATGATTACCTATCCTGCTATTATGTTTAGCAGGGTTCCAGAATTTTCCATCTGAGATGCCATAAATACCCTCAATTTTCTGTACATAAATCAACCTTGGAGAAAAGCGTCTTTTCTATCGGGTTCAAGTCGTCGTATTGATTTTAGCCTGGGTTATTAGAAGAGTGTAATGTGTCTAGTCCTATGTCAAGCCCATATAGCTTATTCTAGCTTCTGGACAAATCGATTTATCCATCCCTCTTGAATCACATTATTCGTTTATCAACCCTAACTGATTTTATATGAACGTATATGTGTGTACATCTTATCATACTCATCACGTGTCTGTAGCTTATTTTTGTGTGACTATAATTATTGATTAACGCTTGATTAAATGGACTTGGCTCACATGCCATCTCCACCGCGCATTATTTCTTTTCGCTTCGTTCCTTTGATCGTCTGCTTGAATCAATGATTGTACAAAATATACGTATTCGAAATCGTTTCTCATATTTGACTTATTTTGATTCCGTTATTCACTAACGCGAGTTAAGTCGATAATTATATACGACGATAGCCAGGATGTATATTTTGACAACAGTCATTTATAAGATCTAATTGAAATCAAATATCCGGGCCACTAAAGAGCTTAGAAAATTGATCCAAGTGTTCAGTCAAAAGATTTATCAAATACGAAAAACAAACTAACTTTATGTAAATAGAAATTATGAATAGTTTAACTAATAATTTTAAAAAACAAACTTGTATTATTCGTCTATCATGTTCTGAATTCGTTAGAGCTTTTTGTAAATGCGCTAGACGTTCTTGTAATTCTAATATGGTTTGATTATGATCTGAAAGACTTGAATTAAGTTGTTGGATTTTATCTTTGCTTGCACTTTCTAACTCTTCTGTTTTAGCTAACGCTGTACTTAAACGATCAACTGTCAGTTGTAATGACTGTGATTTCGATTCTAAATCCTGTGAAAAAAGTATCCATAAGAATATTTCAATAAAATCAGTGCTAGAGAAATAGCTGATAGTTAAAAAAATTCAGAAATTATGGCAGAATAATTTGCGAAAGCAGACCAAATTCTACAAGTCAGGTAAGAAATAATATTTAAAATTATGATTATCATTATAAATAAAAGTAGTATATTTGTAATATCACAATGAGTAGAAAAGTTATGTCTGACACTAAAATATTATGTGCGATCAATCAAAAACAAGTCTGGGCAAGTCAGCGCTTTGTTCCTTTGTACTATTTAAACTTAGGTTGATTATAATTTGGTTACGTATTCTCTGAAGAAGTGGCTTACACGGAGTCATGAAACGTCGAGAAATCTAATTTTTCTACTAATTGGGATATTACAAATATACATTATTTTCATTTATAACGATCTACCCAATGCTAAGTTATTTGAAATTATCAAGTCTAACCTTGGTAATGATACCTATGTCTATCATTATTAATGATATAGACTCCATGAAAATTCTTGAGAATAATTAGTGTCAATGAGTGTAAAATAAGCATGAGTATGCGCTTTCGACTGCTTCCAGGTAACATCACGAAACGTTTTTATATTTCAACGAAATTATACAGCTTTAGAGCGGTAAATCAAAAGTCATTGATCGATAGTTTTCAAAATTACTAAATTTACAGTAAATTATAATGTCACTTCAATGTTCATTAAGAATATCTGTTTGCTTGAGTAGTTTGTGAAGATTCGTTACGTTTGACGATGGTCATTAATATGGATTGATATTAATTGAAAAAATGTTTGAAGATCATAGGCTACAGTATAATTGATTTGCCTTAATTTATCGGTACTAAAAATATGCACTAGTGACTTCATACGTAATCAAATACAAGACTGATAAATCTAGATTTGAGTAGGATTTCATATATGTATCATGTTAGAAATTGGCAAAAATCTGATAATGTGGACTGTTGAATTCCAATTCACCAAGTGTACGACTTCCAAAATGTTTCGTGTAGTCATTTAACTCGTGAGTATAACTATTTTTCTCGTCCAAAGACCTAGATAAGTTTTAAAGATATCGATAGCCATATTTCAAACTGGAAGCTCAGAACTGTGTCTATATAAATAATGCAATATTTTGAGTTTATTACTGAAACGAAATTCTATAAGAGCACTGTAAATTAAAAAAAACAACGCCAGTAATCGCTTTCAATGAATACTCAAATAATGTTTGTTTGGATGAAACCTCAAACATTTTCAATATATTTTATGATAAGTAATATAATTGGTATAGCTTCACAGTTTTCAACAGGTAATAAAGATAAGTTTTAAATCAAAAATAAATTTTCACAAAATGTGTTTGTATCTATTGTTTATGGACTAACTTTATACTTGCCAAATGAAAAGTGAGTCATTCTCTGTTTCATTTTTAGGTTAATTTAACCGATTCTGTGTTGGTTGATTATTAGTCGTATGTAAAGGATATTTTAAAAGCGAATAACTAATGAATAGTTGGTTTTGTAAATAACTAATGATGACAGGTATTAAAAATCCACTTTTTACTAGTATTCTGAACAACTTGAGTCTTATAAGCAAAGACGGATAGTAACTAGCAGTGGGATCCAGGACGCACGTTTGGTCCTATTTGGGACTCGTCAGCTGGATGTACCTGTCCCAGAGTGAACATCAACTCTGAGATGCAGGTGCATCCAGCTAACGAGTCCCAAATAGGACGAAACGCGCGTCCTGGATTCCGCTGCTAGTCACTATCCGTCTTTGCTTATAATGCTTGTAAGATTAATGCAATATCGAGGCAATACGCACAGTATGCACATATGCCAATACGAGACTGATCAGTTGCAGCCCTAAACGTCAATGGGAAGATTCAAGTAAAACAATACCAAGTGAATTTAACTTGATTCTTAGCATTGGACGGAAATAAAATTTTTATCTGTATAAAAATACTAGAAAAATACTTTGACAATGTAGAGATAAATAAGTATGAAAATAAAGGGCAGTATTAAAAGAATCTTTTCATAAATATCATCATTAAATGAAATCATCTGTAGAGTACTACGTACTCAAATAACGTATTGTACATTTTGTAATCATCAAGAGATAGGTATTGAGGATAAGGTATTTTCAAATGTCTACATTGTTTTCAATATCATCGAACAGATAAATGAAATGATCGCTCTTTTAGAGTGTATTCTAATGCTAAGAGAAAGCAACCAAGGTGGGCTGTCAGATGTTTATATTGTATAGGGGGTTATTATGATAATCTCACCTGTATTTGTTTGCAAAGGTTTTGACATCTGTCCTCAAGCATTTGATTCTCAGCTTCCTTATCACTGATGCACATCTTGAGTCGTTGCAATTCACCTTCTAACGATCGTCTAGTTACTTCAAGTTGTGTGATGTGATTTTCAGCATCATCCAAAGCTCTTCGACTGAGACGTCGCTCCTCTTCAAAGCGTGCTCCAGTTTGACGTAAATGCATTATTTTTTCCTTAAGTTACAAACGTTTACATAAATGTAATTTAATACTAGAAGTTAAAAGTTATATGTTTTCAATATTTTCTGATGTCTATAATGAAGCAACACTTCAAAGTAATTAGTTTAAGTAAAATAAGCATATTCTGAGATATTGGTGAATTTGTCACTGATTTGTTGATAGTTTGTTTTAATATGTACAATCTTAAAGTTTCACTTGACTTTCTTCAGAAATCATTACATACGTGTATTAATACTGTCGTTGTCGACTTGAATTATTTACGTACATAAGTGTTTCTACTACATTCTAATTGTTGCATTAAATTTTCAGTGAATAATATAAACTTTACTTTTTTAATATTTTTAATTGCTCCAGACGGCATAGTGAAATAAAATCTTGTCTTGTGTAATTGAAATCCTACAAAAGTCAATCATTTAGGTCTGTGAGAGCAATTCTGTTGTTTTGTGATAATTTGTTTTGGTTGGCATTTTTGAAAGTAAAACTACCTATATAATAATGACCTTAGACGATTTTTGTTAGTTGTTAAAATCATTAGACTGTTTGATTGAAACGATGATATGATTTAAGCTTCTGTGTACCGTTTTCTTTCTATCTACTTTTGCTAAACTTCAGGAGAGATAAACTGATCTTAAAACGAGGGTAGCGTGGTTTGAATGAGTTGCTGCTGAGAATACGGCTAATAATTTTAGTGATTTACAACTCAAAATTTTCTGTTAGAAAACTTTTTGAATTTGCAAATCATTCTTATCTTCAAGCCACGTCAAATAATATTAGTACGATGATTAGCATTTAATAGAACTCTTAACCAATATATTTCATACCTGATCCTCATGTCTCTCATTTTCTATGGCAGATATCTGTCTTTCTAGTTGACTTATTTTATCTGCCATTATTTTTCTGTCACGTTCATTTTGTCGTAAGGTTTCTTCTTGAAGCATAAGAGCAGTTTGAGTAGTAGATAATCTTCCGTCTACTCCTTTCTTATCTGTTTAATATTTTACAACATATGTAAGAAAGTAAAAGTATCAATAAATTGAAATTATAAATTAAAATTGACAAGCTCATTATAAACCTGTGGTAAATTATTTCGTGTTCTTTATTTTTTCAAATGCACTGTACATCTTCGTGTTTTATTTACTCAACATCAATTAACGTTTACTGGAACCGAGATTATTCATTAAAAATCGGTGCTTGACTTCATTTTGTGTTTTTGTGAGCAGTCATAACTGCGTGGTAAAAAATATCTTTTTACGGATAACAAACTATTTCTCATTAACTTTAGCGATAATAAAAATTATTCAATCTAACTTTGTCAATAACAATCCCACATTTTTTACAATTGCACATTTTTATATCACTTTTTGAAACTGCCGGGGCATATATGACGATGTCCATATAAGATTTAATTCTACTTTATTCTTTAAAAATGGTACGATATTTCAGTAAAGCAACTACTTTGATCCGACCGACTTGAAGTATTGACTTTGGTGACTTAAATTGCTGCTACAATGGGTTTGTATGACCTAATTACGAATTCATTTGCTGTTGTAAGTAGCTATATGCAAAACTGTATATTTGTATAGTGAGTTTATAAAGAGATTATAGATAAATAATTCAAGAATTTAGTTGAAACTATTCAAAGTATAGCATTATTTTCATGTAGTTTATTGCATTTGATAATTTTTATTATTATTATGGTGTATGCTACTGGTGTTGACAGATATATGAAGTATGTATGTGAAATGTCTGGCGGAAGAGGATTAAGATCAAAGAGAAGAGGATGAGAACAGACAATGATTGGTGTGGAAGCGAAGGAACAATAAAATTTGAGACAATTGGTTAGTATTTTGCAGATGAAGTATTGTATGGTTTTCAGATTTTACTATGAGATTCTGTAATTTTGTGTTAATAAGATACATTCGGTTGTACGCATCTGTGTTTTGTCGTTCGCTACAATACTAGCAAAATCATTGAACAACATGGATTACGTAGAACTTGATGTAAGCTTAATTAGTTCGCCAAACAAAAGTACAAAAATTTTGGAAAGAGAGGGATGTTGGCTAGCAATGGAATCCGGGATACACGTTTTGTTCCACTTAGGACTCGTCGGTTGGATGTACGTGGATCCCACAGTCGGTGTTCATCCCGGAGCTCTGTCCACTTCAAACGTCACCCCGTTGTCCACTTAACCACTGAGTTCAAATAGCCAATGGCTTAAGCAATGGGACGAAGGTTAATTTATATATTAGTTGTTTGAATCTTAACATTGATAGTTTTGAGTGCGATCGATCTGTCTCTTATTGGCATGTGTGCATCCCGTGCACATCGTCTCGATATTGCCACTAAATCACTTGGATTCGAAGCACAGATGGATGATGTGATGGTGTGTGAAGAGAAAGATTCTGGGTTAGAGTCCCAGAGAGAACATCAGCTCTGGATTCCAGGTAGATTCAACTGACGAGCTCCCAATAGAGCGAGACGTGTATCGTGAACTCCACTGTTGGCCACTATCCATCTCGGTTCATAAAGGTTGTGACTTAAGGCAATATCGAACCAATCCTCACAGGATGCACGTATGTCAATAAGAATCTGATCAATTGCAGTCCTTAATTGTCAATGGTAAGAGTCAAGCAGTCAATGTATATATGAATTAAAAATGCAAACTCTCAAATGAAAACTACTATCTACAGACAAAAATTAAACAAAAAATTTAATATTCACGAAACAAATGCAGATCTATAAGTGACGAGTTATGTGATGATTGATTGATGCTTTATAATTTTTACATAATTTTACAACTCTGAAGAATAAATGTTGTAATATTTTTTATCATTTTAATTCTGTAAGCGATATACCATAAACATCTTTTCGATTTGCATTATCTTGTGAAAACTATGAGACTTTTATTCATCTTCATAACATGAGATATGTCTAAGGACAGTAGGCGTAACGTTTATATAAGCTTTAATTTCAGTACTACTTAGTTGGTTTATTGAGTATTTGAGTGGTAGACCGACAGAAAAAGCCTTATTTTGTCAAGTCATTGAATAAAAGTATGTTTATTGGAGGTCAAATTCATTGACATTGATATTTTATGACTACATTTTATGGATGGTCTACTGATCTGTAGTTCTTCGAAAATTCGGAATAATTCCCATAAATTATCTCGTAATTTAACTGAAGGCAATTTAAAAAACTAGTTGTGTGATGACCAAGCAATTCGAAAGAATTTATTAGTTTTTATAATTACTTATACCTAGTATTCTGTTGCAAAAAAGAGTGCAAAGAGTACATAACAAAATTGGTAATTATCGCTAGAAAATTTATAAAGCTCTTAATTACCTGCTTCAGCTTCACACAAAGCCTGCTGAAGTTGGTGAAGTCTTCGAGCCCACTGTTCAGTCTGTTCAGCTTGTTCGTTTAATCGAGAATGAAGAGATGTGATTTGTGCTTGTGCATCTTCATAATCTCGTTTTACTGAGGAATATTTCTGTACAAAGTCGCGTAAAGCCAAACGAACTGCTTCAGGATCTAGGTCAGATGCATTGAACGATCCATCACTAGGATATACTCTTGATACGTTAGACAATTTGGAATCACTAACACCATCTAAAATAGGAATCATAAGTACAAATATAGGAAGGCCAAATAATATTTACCAACTTCCACAATTTATTTTAAATAAAAATAGAGTTTTGCCTCAAAATTGAATTCAATTAACTAATGTTCTCGATCAGAATGCTCATGATATTTTCCTAATGTAAATGAAGAATAAACTGAAGAAAATTCAATTTATGCTCCTTCAAAAAAGCATATTTAAAGGTTACCAAAGTATTTCTATGAACTTTATCAAAGAAAACTTATTGCTGCGCGATTTAAATAAGACGTTGAATTTAGTCCTCATTAAATCGACCCAACATAAGATAAAATAACCACATATTAATATTTGTTAACGTAGGCTGAACTTCGTGAGTAACGTCACCAACAAATATTTTGTAACGAGATAAGACCATATAGTGTCTAACTTAGTCATCTCTCTTGGATGCAGTATTAATATAGTCGAACTAATTGATCGGAAAAATATTCTAACTGAAGAGCTTTTACTGAGGACATATGTATTTTTTACTAACTAGCATTAAAAGTAGCTAAATGCTTTGGTATATTAAGTCGACTTGCGCCAATCAGACCAAAAATGTTATATCTATATATGTTTATATGGGAAGATCATTCATAATCTATTCAGCATATATTTCTTTATCAGTAATAAGTGTTTAACTCCTCTTAAATTTTTATTTAAACACAGTAAGCAACTTGACAGCTGTTTAAATAAACTACGAAAATGCTTTCGAGATTCCGCAGTAGCGTAATCCAGGACGTGACGTCTATCCTACTTCGGATTTAGTGGGTTATGCATATAACGAAAGAGCCCAATTTTGTCATTGAAGAGGAGTGAAGGTTATGCATTAGCTAATGTTGATAATATTGATGCATCCGTTCAAGGTCTCTATATCCTAACAGAGATTAAGTGATTCTTTCCTAAATGTTAACAGCGAAAAATAACCATAAATTAATAATAAATTAAAATATTTCAGTCCGTATTATCAATTTAATATCTGTAGAGTAGGGAAATTTTATAAAGGTGTTTAAATAGTTATGAAAAATGATACTTTAAAAGATATATCCTTACCTTTTACAGGGGAGTTATCACGACTATTTATTGGACTTGTTCCTGTTTTTAGTTTACGAACAGGTGAAACGGAAGTTGAATCTCTGACTCTTGATGGAGTTTTCGATCGATGGCGACATTGATTATAGCCAATAAGTCTACGAAGTGAACTATGTATACATGCCAGCTTATATGCAAAATCTCTTCGTATCGATTCACTTTTTGCCAACTGAGCCTCCAAAGTACTCACGCGACCCTCAGCTCCACTTAAAGCCAATCTTACTTCCGCCAAGTCATTACTCAGAGCCTCAGCGGTCGTTTCTAATTGATTTCTTGTGTCCGTTAGACGACGATATTCGCAGTTTGCATGATCTACTGCTTGTTTGTATTCTCGTTCTCTACTAGATAAAAGCTCTTGCAGATCACATAATTTTCTTTCACTAGTGGATAACTCTTTCCGTAGTTTAGAACTATATTGAACAAATAATCATCATTTTTACCACTTAAGAACTAAAACATCATAAAGTATTATAGAATTATGGAGTCTTTCTTTCAAATGAATAACTTTAAGTTCGTTCATAATAAGAAAGATTTATAGAAACGACTTTCCGCTAGAATGATGCTGAGAGAGACTAAAGCTTTAAAAAATCATGACGGAATAATTTTATACCATTTCGGACTTAGGAAAACAAGGATTCTATTAAAATATATATAGCTGTAGCAATTTATTTTACTGCATTGACTAATAGCTAGGTTTGAAGTTAAGGCTAGGCATTTCGTTCGTTTTGGGACTCTTCACCCGGATTTATTTGCATGCCTATGTGTGAATGTTACTATTAGGACTAAACCCTGATTCAAACACTAGTGTTATTACTGAACTGAAACATTTTACTGCTCGTCGCTTGTTTAGTTCCCATTATAGATTTGATTGTGACCGGTGAACTTTATTAAACAATTAAATAATCATGATTCCTTTATTTGATCATTTAAAATAGAATTTATTCAGTTCTAGGCAGTGATCAAATAATCTTTTACCACTGTTTTCACTGTTCTATGAATGGTAAACAGATTCTCAGGAAAAATCTCATTTTTCATTAAAAAAATATGATGATTATACAGTTTTAAATTTGGTTCTTCTTGAGTGGTTTTGGTATCGCTTGAAAAGCCTGATACGATAAACAAAATATCTTGTACAAGTAGGAGCATACTCGACTTATCTGAACGGGAAAATGACTGATACATTTATATTGCTTCATTTTTTATAAACGTCAAAAATGAATGCTATAATAAGATTACTCATTAAGTTTAGGAGAATGTTGGTTTATTTCATAAGGTTGTAAACTAAATTTAGTGACGCCATTGGAAAGCGCTTTCTCACAATGTGATTTGGTTTAATAAACATAGTTGAACTCACGTGCTTACTGTGGGGGTCAACTATTTCAGAAGTGAATTAATTTTCTTTATTGTTTATCGTGCAAATTATTAAAATCCCTGAACTTCTACATTACTGTTCTTCATTACATGTTAAATAGGTTATTGGATCAATGAGATTTATATGATCATTTAAAGTCACTTAACGATAAATTTCTTGTGATTTCGTATCATGTTCCAGTTTTCGACAACAAACGAATCAATCATGTCATTTAAAAGACCAAATTATTTTGAATTAGTTCGAAATGTCAGTGATTTTGTCATGCTACTCAGTAGATTTTAGTAGTTAGTTCTTACCGAGAAGCGTCTATTTCACCATTTCGTTGTTTCAGGACGGTATTTTCTTGACGTAATTCTTCATTTTTTTCTTCCTCCCGTGTTATTCTAGACTGCATTTCCATTAAATCCTTAGTCTGCCTTTCATGATCTGATTGCATATCCTTAAGTTGACGTCTAACTTCTTGCAGATCACGACGAACATCAAGACGTCCTTTCTCACTTTCGCGAACACTTGAGCGCAACTCACCAATCTCCTTGCTATCGGCACATTTTTGTTCTTCAAAAGCTGCGACAGAAACATAATGCATAAATATTTTCGTTACGTGAAATATCAATCTGAAAAATAATACTCTCTCTTCTTCCTTATACAAACGTTTGTGGGTTAGTTTTCATTTCAGTGGAAACTATGTTTATGGAAAAGTACTTCCGTCCGATATTCAGGTGCCTTAGATTGCTTTGGTTTGGGATCACTTGGATCTTTTTGGATCAATGGTATTAGAGACTGATGACTCATAAAATAGTTTAAGTACTGGCCTATATCAATGCAAGTGACATTGAAGTAGCTGATTTAATTGGAATAAAAGGGTCATCGTTGGTATAACATGTTCAAGAGTTAGGCAAAACTGTTTTCAAACAATCACGATCTTTCCAACGCACAATAATAAAAAGTGGACACGATAAACCTACACCATAACGTCTAGTGCTAGATTGTCTGCTCATGCTCAGAAAAACGTGATGATTGCTAGAATGTTTATCTTTCCTTCGTCACACAATCTACTTTCCTCATTCTGTTCTGGCTTGGGTTGCTAATTACAAGCACCAATCCTTTATACTCAGTAATACGTCAGATGTTCTCAATTTTAGTTTTGAAGCTATCATATTTGAATATAATAGTTGTCTTGAACTCCTATCCATGTCTTTAAATAAAAGACTTTTAAGTAGATTTAATGTTATAAATAAACTGATTTACAAAGTCATTACATTGCTGTTCTTTACTAAATTAAACTTTGAAGTTTATTACACCCTGTCATTAGTAACTGAAACAAATCGATTGATTCAATCGGTTTCCTAAAATTTGCCTTAGTATATCAAAGAGAAGTAACTGAGACTTAGTAGGCTGTTGTCTCACCACTATATAGGTAACGTTAACTTATCGGTTGCTTATTGTTTGAAGAAATTCAATTGATTGATTATGTCTACATTATATGAGAACTATAGTTTGCTTTTGATATAATATACTTCTTGTATTCCATTTGTCAATCCCTACCAACAGTGTTATGATAAATTTATTAACAAATAAAATACTGAAATCACAAATACAAAGGGGTTACTTGATGGATAAAGTTGAACCAAATTTATTTCTGTGAAAACACAAAAACACAACCTAAATGTTTGAACGTATTCTAGAGTGAAAAGATTTCTGCTTGTATACGAAGTATACATCCGAACTATCATAAAAAGGTTAACTGTCAAATGACTAATTGAAAACGAAATTGAGGTGGTTTTTAACATCGATTTTACATATGTATTGCCAGATAAGTCACTATCCATTTTAATGAACTTGAGTTAAAATTTAGACAAGAAATTTACTTTACATAACAGAGGATTAAACCAACAGCTTTTCAACAGAAAATTTATTTCATCTTCACTGTCTAGTTGTTACCCAAGTGGTAAAACTTCGTAAAAACTACTTTGGATAGCATTTTTGAAATGAAAGGGTTCTTTTTCTATTTCCGTAATGGAGACTCGATAATTGACCAGTTTAATCTGATCTTCGTCAATTTATAACTTTTAGGCTTGTCATGACTTATAGGCGTAAATCAGAAAGCACATTTATTCAAACGGTTGTCACTAAGCTAAGTTATTTCAGTATATATATTTCAAATTGTAGACTTGATTCAAGTATTAGGAAATACGTCATGATTTCGGATTATAACAATACTAAGATAGATCAGTGGAAAATCTGGGATATGGAAAATGGTTTAGGTTCGCGAAGACATATATATATCCAGCTACTTTACTACTTCAGACGAATTTGAATTATCGTTGCTAGGGTTAGGATTTTAAATAAACAGAACTCAGGTTGCTCTGGGATCCGAGCTCGTGACATCCAAAAATTACACAAAGCATGCATCACGTGAAATGTAAAACTCGTGGGTTTGAGATTTATTTCAAATTTCCGCCTGTTATGATAGAGATTCAGAACTTCATCGACAATGTCGTATTGTCAGTTGAGTTTGTAATAGCTAATAGCACTATGGTTTAACACTACATTTGTATTCTGTACATCTCTCAATTACTGTATAAACTTTTTTATCTATAATGTTGTGACTTTCATACCGAAAACGTTAGGAGAACCTTCTACTTGAAAATATGTCTTGTTTGCCACGTACTTTTAAGTTCCCATTTCTATTTTCACTAATTGTCAGATGCCAATTATTCTTTAAGACTTTTGCTAAAATGTTTATCTTCGTCAATTCGCCCATCAACTAACAGTATTCGGTCACTCAGTACTGGGATTTCTGGCCAGGTCCATTGTGAAAAATATTCAGTTTAGATACTATAGACTTTACATGTTCAAGTAACAAAACTTTTTATATAAACTAATATTTATTTTGTAGTGTTTATTTCATTAAATGTGTGTATAGTTTGTAATTTCATATTTTCTTACATTAATTTACAAATTTATTTTTTCAATGCTCTACAAGCTTTTTATTCTAGCTTTTACGGATTAATCAGTTAAAAACTGGTTTGTTGTTCATTTTACTTTACTCAATGCGATTTGAATTGAGACAGAAAACTTGGTGACTGAGATAAAACTAACTCCTGATAATCAATCAAGCCGCGTTGATCAATTAACAGAGCTCCAAGAATGCAACCCAGGCACAAATAGTATGCTTCCAAGTGGGAATCAACTTCTACCTTCATCAACAATCATCAACAAAATCAATAAAAATCGTAAGCCGGATCACCCTGACTCGGATGTTTTGAAAGAATAATCATAAACAAATATAAACCACAACTTGTTGTTAGATTAAGATTAATTACCAGAGATTTGTTGTTGTTGGTCAGTTAGTACTCTATTTTGTTCAACACGCTCAGTTTCTAGAGACTGAACTCGTTTCACGAGATTCTCTTTGGCTTCTTCCTGATTGTCGCGGTCACGCTGCGTTTCAGCTAGAGTTCTACGTAAGTCAATAATTTCTTTACGTAGTGTTTCTCGAGCTTCATCTGTTTCTTTTAAACGACGAGATATTTCTGAGATATTTTTTTGTAATCCATCTCGAACTTCTTCAATTAAATTTATTTGCATTTTTAATTCGTTCACTTCATTTCTTGCTAGATCTCTTTCAGTGGCTAGCTGAGCAGATTTTGCTTGAGCGCTCTTCATTGCCTGTTCATGTAATGCACTATAAAATGATGATAATATTTTAGATAAATTTATTTAATAGAAGTGAATAACAATCTCATGCAGAATAGATAACAACCAACACTAAACATATATTATTTCAAGCTTTTATAACATTCTGCTCCGTGACGACTGTTAAAATCGTAAAAAGTTGTTAAAACGTAAGAGACAAATATTTTAACTACTACTCAAGAAACCTTAAGACGTACTTATTTAGCATATGATGTAATATCTTATAGTTGGCTTAATCTAATTTCATATTTGCTATTAGCCACAACTGTAACAAAAAATCATAATATTCAGTATTTATTAAAGTCTGTTATATTCTCGAATATAAATCCTAGTTTAAAGGTTATGATGGTGAAAATGACTCTAGTAATCCCCAAAATGTAATCCATGACAAGTGTACAAATAAACTGCGTACATATCTGTGAGTTTAGTGGTGTTTACCACCACTGTAAGTAACAATAGAGATAAATGAAACATTTAACTAATTTTGTAATTACTAGGTTAAATTCTGAAAAACTAAATTTATGAAATTGTTTCAACTATCGATTGTATTATTCCGAAGACAATTTAAAATTCAACAAACTCAGAAAATCGGACAACTTAATTGTAAATTCTACCACTTGATTATTCCATGTAAATAAGCTGAATTTTGTTATATTTCTAAAACAAGTGGAATCTGAACAACATATTTAATTACCATGTCTCTTCATAGTGTTGACGGAATTCTTTCAGTTCCCGTGTCAAATCGGCTTTGGCCATATCATCACGTTCATGACGAGCTGAAGCTTCGCGTTTAATTCTATCTATTTCTGATTCTAATCCTTTAATTTGTTGTAATGAATGATTTAATCGTTCATTTAAGTTAACTCGTTCTTGTTCATTGAACGATAATAAATTTTGTTTCTCTGCTTCATATGCCAAAGTTATTTCATCTTTTTCCCTTTGAAGTTTCATGAGCTGTAATTATGTATACATTTAGGAAAAATATGTTTATTTTGTGAAAAATTTTAATCGTTTGCCAAAATAATTTTTTATGAATACATTCAATAGCTGTAAATTAATGAATGAAAGTTAAAATATATTTTACATTTTTATAGGAATAAAAAACATTTCAAGTCGTTAAACGATCTTGATAATATTCACTTGATAACTTTGTAATGAGGATTGTTCAGAATACTGATATATCTTAGGATACACTGTTTGATCGTTGAATAAGAAGTAATGTCATATTTGTCTGACCCTTGATTTTAATTGAATTCCATCGATCAAGGCACAATGTGATTACTAACTTAAGGAAATTGCGTGCTCTATTCTTTGGTTTTAAATATTGGAAGTAGTTAGCAGGTTGACTCTCACCAATAAGACCTAGTTGAAATCTTGATGGTGCTTACGCTCTTTAAGGGTTAAAAATCTCATCAGTCAAATTTACAATCTGATAGACAAATCAAATCATTTTGCAGTATAAAAAGACTTAAGATTTTGTTCTGACAATCAACCACCATTGTCGATAATAAAGAATAGGAGAGAACCAACTTATTAAATAAAATCTGTAATTTTACCATCACGAAAATAGAAATTTAAGACCTAATTTTTTTATAGACAATTAGGACCTTTTAAAAATATCATTTTGAAAGTAGACTACCAGCTTTTCATTTAATGAAATATAGGATTTTCGCAGATTTCAGACTGCCATATAGCAATAACCAAGAGTGGAAATATCAGAGTATTTCAGTTCATTGAAATGTGGAGCTTACTTCATACCAGTAAAATAATAAGTTAAAATCATTTGCGAATCATCGATATATTGATTCAAGAACAGGTTAGTCTTTAGTCAGGATCATACGAAAAAACTTAAGCAAAGACAAACGCAACATTACAAAAACTATAAGACATATAAACAATAAAGTTTCAAGGTTTTGACAATAACCTATTTAGCTGAGTGGTTTGAAGAGGTTTATATAATACAAATAATACGATAGTACAAATAAATTTAACCTGAATCACTTGCTAATTTATCTACCAAAACATTATTATCTAGTCAGCCTTAAACTGGTTTATTTCATTGGTCATGGTTACTTACTAGAACTTCGGGAATTACATTTCAAAGCCAATACACAGAATACACAAATATTTCGGTTGAATCAATTAGCATTACAGTTAGACAAATTTGAATAGACAAGGAATCTGAACAGTGAAACAGTGGTTGATTTCGTGCTAAATTTTAAAAGAGGTCTTCAAGATGGAAGTTGCTTATTTGTATGGTTTTATAATTAGTATTTACTTTAGCAATCACATTGTAGATTGCCTTTGTAAACGATATCTTTGTTGTCTAGACTAGTTCTGACCTAAACCTCAATTTTGGCACTCTAAAAATTAGTTAGTGAACAGACCCCATATACTTGATATTTCTTAAGTCAACAGTAGTCTGGTATTATTTTTAGTTTTTTTTGTTTTGCATAATCCAAATAGAGTTTTCAAAAATACAAGTATTGACGAAAATTAGCAAATTGTATAGCATTAAATGCTTTTTACATGTAAAATACTATTAAACTATGAGACCAAATAGACTGTTTGATCTATATTTTTCTCGAAAATTGTCTTTTTTTTCTCATTATATTGCAAACAATAATTCAAACAGACAGAGTCATTTAATTTTCAAACAAAATTTACTAACAGATCATTGGTTCATAAAATAAAACTAACCAAAATTTCAATACTTATTAGGTGAAAATAACTATCCAAGAAGAATAAATATAATCACCTTTTGTCAAGAATTTGAGTTAATCAAATGAACTTTACTTTCCTAATGTTGATACACTTTACAAATTCTTAACAGAATACATTTTTATGTACGAATCTGAAATATTTGAATTAACCAATAAATTGTTAGTCAAAAGTTTGTTTTTTGTTTGGCATTATTATCATCTTACGTGTATGCAATTCATATTCATTCAGTTGGTCTTTTCTTTTCATATGACTAATTTACTATAAAATATTTCATATATAAAATTTGCTCAACTGACTGACTATACTTCTGATATTGTCTGGTTTCTCGATAACTATTGATAATGAATGGGCGTATTAGAATAGATTTCAAGCTAAGGAAGTCAAAAACAATACTACATCAAATGATGTTATTCTATTTTATAGGTGATTGTCAATTAGGGTTTGATTATAATTCATAATTCTTCCCTATATACTTGTAAATTTATTTCGAATATTTGTACTAACCAATATATGTCAGTTCAATGGAAAGTAGACAAAATCTCCATAAAAAGCGACCAAATTTCTTACTTCATTATCGAAATCTTGTTTATCTTGTTCGCTCTGATTTATAAGGTCTTTAATAGCTTCTTTATGACTCAGTGTAAGATCCCTTAGCTCCTTATCAGACAATTGTCTACATTCAGTCAATTGATTTCTCAATCTGGATATTTCGACTTCAGCTGCCTCTTTTGATAGTTTCATCGCCCCTTGTAATTCATCTTCACGTTTCTGTAAAGCCTGTGAGGCTTGCTCACGAGCCTGAAGTCCACGTTCAATTTCATGTTGAAGGTCGGCCTGAGTGCGTTTCAGTTCAACTAATAATATGCGAAGATATAATAAAACAAACATTTAAACTTTAATTGGAAATACTGTAAAGCAAATTTGTGAAATTTACCTATCAGGATATTATTATTGTCACGATATTAAACAAATAACACCTTTGATGCAATATGAGCCATTAAATTATGTGATTATTGTAAATTTCAGTATAGGCAAACAACCTTAAATAGTTCTGTTCTGTTAAAATGTCTACAGTTAAAAAAAATATGATAACACTTTTAGCTAGAGTAGTGTCAAAATCAGGAATAATGCTAATGACTAACAATCATCGGCAAATTATGTTCTAAAGTAAAAGTTATATTTCTTATCAAATGACTCATTAAAGAATTTTTGAAACATTGCTCAAAACTGCATTGTATAGGTCTAGGCATAAAAATAGAGAATGGTATTGAAGAAAATAAGTTGCATAGTGTCGCTTCTATTACGTACGTGGCGATTCTGTTGTGTTCTCAGTCCAACTGCGTATCCTTGGAAACAATAACTAGTGTAATCCCCATGACGTGATGTAAAAAAACAAAGACTGGTATCAATAAAGATTTATTGACTCTACAAAAACACGACACCAAAACAAGTCATCCAAAATCATATCATGATTAAACCAAATATGTTCATTCGGATACTGATTTTAAAAGCTTTTGATGAATAGTTAGAAAGCATCGCAGAAATGAAAACATACATAGCGTTGCTGTAAAACGCGCAGGACGTTCACATGGAATAATCCAAGATATATGATTTTCATCGCTGACAAAAGTTGACACTTGTCATCCTGAACGAAGTTCACACTTAATTCCTATAAACATGTTGACTTCGTTGAAATTGTGAACAGATCTAAGTTAGACTACCATTCGAAACTTGGGAGTACTGAATGGGCGTCCCAGTATGAAACTCTTCAGCAATGCGCATTCGCGTCCCCTCACGCGGGATCCAAACCCAGGAACTTCGATCTCAAACGGAAGCACCTAACCTCTAAACCATTGAGCAGGTATCTGAATAAGTTACAATTGAAAATATAAAACCAATATGGTACTGATTAAAATCTTACACTGAGGATAAAACTAGTGTCAAGATGTTACATTGTGAGTAAAAGTAACACCATGAAATGTTACGCCGATTCGATAAAAACGTGTACTCGCCTTTTTAAAATCAAAACTTACCCAACAGATTTTCTCGTTTTAGATTTTGTTCTTGCAACTCATTTTCTAATAAATCTCTTTTAGTTTCCAATTGCATTATCTGTTGCTTGGCTTGATAGTAGTCAGCGTCTAAATTTTCATGCTCTTTTTTACTCGCTACAAGTAAATCGCAAGTTTGATTTAATTCTCTACTAAGTGCAGTAACTTGTGTCGAAAGTTCACCTTTCTCTTTTGTCAAGTCTTCTTTTTCTCTATTCAGACGTCCGATGACATCACGAATTCGTTCATAATCTCTATTCTTTTGGATAAGTTCATTAGTGAGACCATTTTTTTGTCTTGTAACAGCATTCAGCTATAAAAATACGAAAGTCTTTTTTCAAATTTTTCGAAAATAACCGTTTTAAAATTACTATGTTAACTGTCAATTGTTGGTATTAGTGAAATCGTGGTTTTTATTTCCAAATAGAGTTTTCAAAAAGTCATTTGATTATGTTATCAACATAATGGTCCATTTTCCTCATTGTTGAATGATATCTCTTCATTCCATATTATCTAAGACTAGTTTGTACAGTTTTACGGTTGACAGTAACCATCAGTGCTACATCTTTAAATAACCAGAAGGTTTATGAAGATGAATTCACAATAAAGATATTAACAGATGTTCTTCAGTAGAATAATTTCTTTGAAATTAAGTACATATTTTTAAAAATATTTTTATTCAACTGAATCGGAGAAAAATTATGAATGACTGTAAAAAATTTAAGCAAAGACGAATGGTTACTAGCAGTGGAAACCGGGATACACGTTTTGTTCCACTTAGGACTCGTCAGTTGGATGTACGTGGATCCCACAGTCGGTGTTCATCCCAGAGCTCTGTCCACTTCAAACGTCACCCCGTTGTCCACTTAACCACTGAGTTCGAATAGCCAATGGCTTAAGCAATGGGACGAAGTTTAATTTATATATTAGTTGTTTGAATCTTAACATTGATAGTTTTGAGTGCGATCGATCTGTCTCTTATTGGCCACTATCCATCTCGGTTCATAAAGGTTGTGGCTTAAGGCAATATCGAACCAATCCTCACAGGATGCACGTATGTCAATAAGGATCTGATCAATTGCAGTCCTTAATTGTCAGTGGTAAGATTTAAACAAGATGAAACGTAAGTAGCATTTTATGTTATGACATTGAATATGAATGTGAATTTTCTGAAGGGGTAGATCATAGCTTACTCCATTTAATATGAATCTTTGAAATTCGTTAGTTTTCGGTTTTAATAAATTGACATTGAGAATTGGGTTATGGTCATTTGGGAAACTTTGATTTTTTTGAAATTTAAACTAACCTATTGCTATCCGTATACTTAATTTTTAAAGTTCCAAATCCGGTGTCGTAAGTTTATAACTGAGTTAGAGAATACCGCAATCAAATTTTATTGCTACTATCTCTTTATATTTCAAAGTCATATCAAGAAAACTATTAAACAAACTTCAGAATAAAAGTAGAGATAAGTATTTTAGACCGCAAAATAGATAGAAATTCCCCAACTTACTTGCTCCGTAATTTCTAACTTTTCTCTGTTCAGACTGGTGATTTCTTCTTCCAGTCTTTCACGAGCAGCTTCAGACATGGTTAAAGATTGAGAAATGCTATTCTTTTCGTAAATCAGTTCATTTTTTTGTGATTCCATTTGAATAAGTTCTTCTTTCAGGCTAGAACGATCTGCATCAGCATTTCGATAGTCAGATGCTAGCTGATTGTATTCCGCTTCCTGATTTCTTAATTGGCTCTGCAGAATTGACCTCTTGTTGGAGGCCTCTTCTAATTTACTCTAAAATTTACAAAGAATTAATTTCTTAGGATGAATCTGGATATAATTTGCATTTTCAAAATAGATTTGCCATTCCACTTCTTTCAGAGTGATTACTTAATAAACAGTGGTTGGTTATGGATATGTTCTTCGAAAACCTTCGTATCCACACTTATGATATTTATATCTTAAGCAGTTAATATGCACTTTCAAAGTAAATGGAATTCAACATATCATTACTTTCGGTTGTTTTTTTCATTAAAATACTAGTTTAATTTAATGAAGTCTTGGTTTCATTACGAAAGTAATAAAAGAAGGTGAAAAATATGTTAATGCAAATAGATACCTGAAACGGTTTGTATGTAACTTCCAGTACAGTGATAATTTTTAAAAGGACACTTTCAATAAAACATCTAAAAAGGGTTAATTAAATGATAGTTTAGGTTTACTTAGAAATTGTATCTAGCTGCTTTATCAGTAATACCAAAAAGATTATTAGCTCTTAATTGTATACATGCCGGGTTTCGTTTACAATGTAGCTATCATTTATGAAAAATAAATGAATCTGGCAAACGCCATTAAGTTAAACAGTCTAGTTTTATAACCGATAGTCTCAATTTTAATCTTAATATACAAAGCAAAAGATTGTTAAAAACATTAGTCAAAAGTAAACAGTAAAACAGTAGAAAATGAATAGAAGATGAATGTACTAATCATTTAGTCCTACCTATTTACCAGCGAGGAAATCTAAATCAAAGAATTGTAGACAAAAAATAATCGACTTCAAAACATGGAACATCAAGACATGTGACGGGGATGAGTGACTGTAACCTTACTATTCTTTAACATAAATAATGTAGAGACTTAAGTCTAAGCCTGAGTATTGAGAGTAAACCATTTACTTGCCATTTACATGGCCGTTTGGATTTCAGTCTTAGTTTGATATATAACTAAAAATAAAACATTTTTGTAATATCCCAATGAGTAGAAAATCTAATTTCCTACTAATTGGGATACTACAAATATATTATTTTTATTTATAACAATCAACCCAATGCTCAATTTATTCGAAATTATCAAATCAAACCTTGGTAATGATACCTGCTAAGTTTGATATACTTATCATCCGTCATTTTAGCATAATTAGTTAAATGTTGGAGTGTAATAGTAAAGTAATTAAATGTACCCAAAGACACCTTACTAATCCTCATGATGGATAATATTTATTTTAAAATAGTTCAAACCAAAAAAACATTTCAAGCGCACAGTACAACATAAATTGCAATAATTCAATGCACACAAACACTATACCTTTATAATATACTTTTAGTTTATCTGTTGATTCACTAAGTTTATGTAACACAGTTTGTTTACATAACAAAACTGCATGGTAAATTGATGAAATTTCGGTGGATAACTGAGTTATTTCCCGAGTGAATAATGATACAATTAAGATTACTTCAATCGTAAATAAGTTGAATGATTTATTAGTCCCTTGCAGCTACTCACTGTCATATCCTATCTGTATTGACTAAACATTTGAAATCTAGGTTAGTAACTGAGTCAGGACAAATATCGAACCATTTATGCATCAAGTCGGAAAATGATATCAAGATCTACTGATGAAAAGCAAATTTACAAGCACATGAATGAAACCAGTCGACCTGGTTAGCCAGATGTAATTGTAGATTATATTATTATTATTATTATTATTATTATTATTATTATTATTATTATTATTATTGACTATATTATTATATTATATTGACTAGAATTGATACATTAGTTCATTAGATTGAAGGGATATGCTAGAAAAATATTAAATATCTACTTAAGTAAAGAAAATTCTCACAACTTAAATAATCAAAATTTCGAAACTCAGTAATAAAGCAAATAAAGTCGCGTCTGGAAATTATTTACCCTTAGACAAGAAGCCCCTCTAAATATAAAATAAAATGGCAAAATTTAACATTTCATTATTTAAATTTTACCTGAAATAGATGGTCGCTATATTATGATGAGAAGTTCTAGAAACTAAAATTAATGTTATTAATGGTAACATTTTTAACACTGTTCGTAATAACTAATAATCAAGACTGTTAAATAGGGTATTTTATATAATTTAATTCTTTTAGTTAAAGTACAGAGAAATGCAAATGCTTGTACTAAAACAAGTAGAAAATAATTTTTAATACTATGAACTAATAAAGAAAATTGGTAGTTTAGTTTCAATAAAACATAATAAGATGTAATCCTTAGGGCTAGTAGCGCTTTTACCTCTTAGCGTTTACATTCATTTATACTTACGTAAAATAAATAAACTCCCTAGAAGTTGATGAAGTACTTTTAATCGATATAGTGGTGAATGTTTGTTATAACAATGATAATAATAATGATAATAACAATGATAATAACAATTATTGTTAATTGGAAATATTATTGACTTATTTAGCCTTTCATAATTTATGGTGTATGACCACATGTAAATGAATGTAGTTTATAGGCTACATAATTTAATCAGAGTAGTGTTATGGATTTTGAGTAGCTTGTTGTTTAAAACAAAGAATTAATTTTTAAGAAAATAATTAGACCATGATATGAGATATACTGAATTATTGCCAAACACATAGTTGAAACAGGTCATAAGATTGATCTTAACTCGGTTTTTGTGTTGTACAAAAATGTGAACGGACGTATATTAAAGTTTATTGAACCTTTAGTCATACGAAAATTCAAACTTCTTTTGTGTATTCAAAAATGGTTTGTTCTCACCTTAAACCTACCCTGGTAATATTAGCTTATATCCAGAGTGATGAGCTTTCAGATTCCTTTGACATTATTTTCTTTATTATTCATGTCTCCTCTTACCTTCCATTTCTAGTCTAGTTGACCTATTATTTTTATATATAAATGTTCTTAACAAGTATATGTGTGATCAGATTGTTCGAGATGTATTGCGGTAATATATATTACATAGTTCTGATAATCTTCGTCTTTTTAGTACACTATCGAAATTTATCAAAGTGACTCAATGCTTCAAATGAAGCATTTGGATTTAGTGCTGTTAGATATTAGTACATATAATTTCTTACCACCTCAACTAAAGAGTATATTAGATTAAGAATTGGTGTTAATTCAATTAGTTCTGATTATTTGCAAAAGCAGAAAATTCTGCAAGATATGCAGTTCACATTTTCGTTTCATTAGAACATGAGTTTAGCTTAACTTTTTAAAAGTCAAACGATCAAATATTAATGTGTTGCATATGAATTTTATTTCGTGTCCAGAATTTAAATATTTGGTATGCTTATCGTTATTATAACGTAAAGTTTTAGATGTTGAATCATAACCAAGATCCTCCATGATTTTCAACATTGTTACGTAGTCAATAAAAAAGTTTTAGACAAAGAATATACCTGGCACTTGGACAAATGTTCACCTAGTGCCGCTTCATCTGATCGTAGTCGAACTATTTCAGCTTCCTGTTCTGCCTTGCGTGTTTCAGCTCTTGATAGAGCGTCTTGAATGTCTGCTAATTCTTTGGCTTTGATCTCAGCTTCTAATTTGGCTTTCTGAAGGGCGCTTCGTAAATTCGTTCCTTCTTCGCGCTCAGCTGATAAACGTTCCTCAAGTGTATCAATACAACGTTGACAACGTTCAGACTCTCTTAAACATCTTTCAGCATCACGCTGAGCACAATTTAATTCACCTTCTAATGTGTCTCTGTTTTTACGCAACTCATTATAAGCATTTTGAACACGTTCGAGTTCGCTCTGCAAGCTTTTTAGTTCGTCAGATGTATTCGTATGTAATCTTTCGAGATCGGCTCTTTCGTTATCCAGAGTTTGAACATTTGCTGTAATTCGTTTTACTTCTCTTCCCATATCTTCTTTCTCTCTTCGTATATTGTCCAGTTCTGCACGCATATTCATTAGTTGACGTTCTAAGTTTCTTCTTTCATTTTCACTATCGTCTAACTGGTGTTTAACCGAGTCACACTGATCTTTAGTGTTGTTCAGCTTGGCCGTTAATTCAGAAACCTAAAATAGTGAACAAATTCTATTTTAAGATTTTAGTTTGTGTAATTTGTACTTTCATGAAACGATTCAACAGCGAAGTTATTTCACTAATGATTGAAAGTCTTATTACTAGTGTGTGTTTTCACATTTTAAACACACGAAAACGATTCTTGATCTATTAAGACGAAAATGTTTTTAAAGTGCCATTATCAAGCTAGATATCGAAGATTCAATCAAATAAACTAACTTGGAGTCCACGTTTACGAAGTGCAGCCTGAACAGCAGATAATGCTGAATCACCCCAATAACAAGCACTTGTACTGTTAACTGGTGGTGGTGGTGATCCGGTGCGACCATACGCTCCTGCCCTTGAGTTATGAAAACTATTGGTTATCATCTTTGGATTCGAAGCATAGCATGGTGAACGGGATCTCGACTGATGGAAACAACTTTCAACACCACCAAAGGCCTCAGATGGCACGATTTCATCATTAAGTACGGACTGAGAAATATCTCTGAGTGTCTGGTATAATGCTTGAGTTTCCTCAACAAGTGCTCTTGAAGAAGGATCATTGATATCTGCACCTTCTGTTTTAAAGATTAGGGAAAGTTTAAATAAGAATAAATATAAGTAAAAAAGAAACCATTCTTTACACAAGCGAGTTTATGGTTACTTTCAGAGTCAATTATTTATCCTAATTATACTTGGTATGGCATTAAGAATGAATTTCGGTAAGTTACTGAACGAACAAATGTACAACATTTATTATATGTGATATTGGTCATGAATAGTTGGATATTTTTTACTTATAATAAAAATTATTTCGTACACTGGAGTACTTAATATTTTGTGTTATAAGTAAACAGAAAGGTGAATAATTATTAATACAGACTAATCTGAAATATGTACGGCGTTAAGAAAACAAAATTTATTTTTCTGTTAATAAACATGCAGTACGAAAAAACTTGTCACACTGGAAGATTTTTTCTCCCTACTCCATAATACACCTGGCTTAAGTGAACAAAAATAAGTTTTATGTAATGTATTAGTATTTATTCACGTATTTGTATTCCTTCCTAATATGTCTGATCAATTACTCAAAGTATGTAAATAATTTCCAGAACTCCGGAGCCTCGGGCAACCATGTGAACAACCCTTGATTTCTGTATCAAACGAACAATGGAATTAGAGTTTCAGTCGTATTTTCGACAACTGATTATGTTTGTAGTCCAAAAATTACTATTAGAAATTTTCAACCTATTCTATTAAAGAACATTCGATAAAAACGCAATCTGACTGCAGATTTCAAACACTTAAAAGTATTTTGATTTATTTAAGTTAACTATAATCAAAACAAGTGGCTTTCATGAAGTTTTGAGATATCAAAAATTAGTTTTATCACTTCAATGGTATTTCATGTTTCCTAATTTTAAAATGTGATTGTTTCTTTCTGTCTTATGTTTCGCCTTACACATTAAGAAATAATTATATTTAGTTTTATACCTAATTTGCAAGTAATAAGCAGGTAATGAAACTGTCTTGTAACCGACGCATATATTTGAGTCTTACATTTTAGTTGCTTGTAGGCGATGATCAGGAAAAATTCGATCTATGTTTCGTATAAGTTGGCAATCTTAAGTATCCTCATCTGCAATCCTCAGGCAACTGGTGTTCCTTTTAGGATTTGAATCCACGTCACCTGAATGGTTCTATACGAAAGTGTTTATCTTGAACTACCAGGCATGAGGAAATATTTTTATACTATTCATATCAGTGGTTTATTCAATGAAGCTTACTAATTTTTTAATCAACATGTGTTTAACTTGATTATTTCCGTCATGATAAACTGGGAAACGAATTTAAGCAAATACGTATTTATGGTAATTTCCCATTAGGTTTTATTTACAACACAGAAATATGCATCAAAAGTTCAATATTATCTCATCTGAAGAAGATGAAGGAAAAAATTGAAAAGAGCTAAACATTCACGAACATTTACGTTGCTATTTGGCACTCGTCAACAAGGCGAACATGGCATCTAAAGCGAACTGATGCTCCCTGACTTGTTCGATCCCGTATCACCCAGCTTCACGGTCAGAGATGTTACCACTGAGCTTTACGGGCCGCAATTGACCTCCTGTAGGACTGAGCTGTATTTACAATCGATTGATCACTGGGTAGTTGCCAATGTCACGTGTGTCAATGCACACGTCGTCGAGTCACCTAAACTAGTGGTTACATTACCATTTGGTCGATAAAACTCGATATGCTCAGAGGAGGACCTGACACACATGATGCTGGTCACTATCCACTGATTAATCAAATGTAAGCGAAGTCTTCATAGTTTGCAGACCTTCATTCACTAAGTTTAATAGAGACGATTACCAGCAGTATTTTTTGACTAAACCTATGCATCATTCTTTCGATAATTTACCATATGCTTGTATTTTTCAACTAGAACTATAGACTAATGGATCCCGAGTCAGTGGTCTAAAGGTTAAGCGCTCATCGAATGTCCAAAGATCGAGTTTGGTCTGTCGGTTCGTGTATGTCCGCAATGCTAAGGAGTCCCATACCAGGACAAAACGGCCGTCCAGTGCTTCTAGGTTTTCGATGGTTGTCTAACTCTAATCGGTACATGATTTCAATTACAATGACGTTCATCTGTACCTTTATATTTAGTTATAATTTTAACGTCAGTTTAATTTTACAAATTATTTATTAATGATTCATGTTTGTTATTCTACCCAATAAACAAAAAATTCCTAACAAACTATATGTACAATCCCACGACTTCGTTATAATTACTATCATCACTATCTTTTCACTCATATATATATATATATATATATATATATATATATATATATATAATTCTCTTAATGAAAATAATTCCAATATTTTGAGTGAATTACACTTCTTGATTGTAAAGACTCATCAGAAAAATCCAAATATACTCATTTGCTTAAGGTATGCTCTAAGTTAACGTATAATTCATAGTAAATAATTAATAAAATAAAGAAATTTCCTCTTAAGTTCAAACCTTTACGTCCACACAAAGTTTGACCAGTACGTAGTCGTTGTAAACTATCAATTGTTCTATCTTTATCAGAAAGTTGTTTGTTTAATTCGTCTATTTGATTAATTAAATTGGTGATTTTTTGATTTGCTTGTTCAAGTTGTCCATTTGTTTGCTGTCTTACATTTTCACAATTTCTAGTTAATTCATCTAATTCATGTTCCAATTTTTTCTTTTCATTTTTCTCCTGTTCCAATGTGACCTATTAAACATTATTAATGTATATACATACCCATATAATTAAAGTCATTAAAATTTATTTCTGAATATAACGAAACATATTAAAATCAACAATTAAACACAATTCCTTTCTGATGTTACACGATGGAAAAATGGAAAAATAAATAAATTTCTAAACGGCTTTTTTTAAACGTATATAAAAGTGGGAAATGTTTTTCGAAAGAAATTATAATGTAACATATTTTAAATGCTGGTTGATAAAATTAATCTATCGGTCACATCCATTAAAGGAAATAAAATCCAAGTGGATATAACAAAACAAATAGTTTCTATTGTGTGAATGATGTTTTTTTCTTTTAATGTAAAAAGTTATGTATCAAGTTACACTAAATCAATATTCTTCATTATTTGGTAGTAATTTTATACATTTTATCTAATGATAATAACTTTTAGAAGTAGCATTTATTTCATTTTCATAAATACTGACAGCAATTTATTCATATAACACTATAATTTTATTGATTTATTTCTGCTTTATATTGGCTTCATGATTTCAATAGTACGTATGAACTAAAATGTCATAATGAACATGATAAGATAAATGAATACGAAACCGTTCACTTAGTGGATTTAAATATACGTGTTGTTTTTTTCAAATGCTAACAGCAATCATAACTTCGTTGTAAAGATTTGAATATTAAGGTTGTGGGTGTTATGGACTGCATTCAATCCGGTTTTTTTTTGGGGGGGGGGGAATGTACGTAAAAGACCTAGCAACGACTGTGGAAAAAGCTGCCAGCGAAGGAAATATGAAACAACTATACGATACAACGAAAAAACTAGTAGAGAAATAGAGTGAAACAGAACAACTAGTCAAACATAAAAAAAGAAAGCCAATCACTGAGATTGAAGAACAGAGAAACAGGTGAGTAGAACTTTTTGAGAAACTCTTCAATAGGCCAGCTCCACTGGACTTATCGAACATCAAAGAAACACACACAGACCTTCCTAAAGATGTCATTCCGCCAACAGCCGAAGAAGTCACCATTATCATAAAACATATCGAGTGAGAGAGCAGCAGGATCGAAAAACATGCAGGCTAAAACACAAAAGCCAGAAATGGAAGTAATTGCACTAATGTTCCGTGCTCTTTTCTGAAAGATTTGGATCGAAAAACAAGTGTCGACAGACTGGAAAGAAGGACATCTCATCAGGATACAAAAGAAAGGAGATGTGAGCAAGTGTAAGAACTACACAGGCATCACACTATCATCGGTACTAAGAAACGTTAACAACAGAGTATTGCTGAACCGAATGAAAGATTCTGTAGACGACCATCTTCGAGATTAACAGACCGGATTCCGTGTGTATCGGTCGTGCATAGACTAAATCGTGACACTACGGATAATTACTGAACAATCAGTTGAATGGAACTCGTTACTAAACATCAACTTTGTTGACTATGAGAAATCGTTTAACAGTGTGGATAGGAAAACCTCATTGAACCTTCTTAGACACTGTGGTATGAGTAGCTGAGAAGATCGTCAACACCATACGGCATTCATATGTCGGACTATACTGCAAAGTCGTGCATGGAAGACAGCTGACAGATGCATTCCAAGTAAGGACCGTAGTCAGATTAGGCTGCCTGCCGTCACCCTTCCTCTTTCTTCTGGTGGTTGACTGGATTATGAAAACCTCTGCATCGTAGGTCCTTTTCCAGTTGTCCTCCGTTTTACTTTCTTCTTCTTTCAGTAGGTTCTGTAAGGCTTGGAACCTGTTATTCAGATTTATCTTGAATTCGTTGAATTTATTGGCATCTCGTGCGAAGGCTGTATTTAACCCTTGTAATGGTGTTTTTCCGATTGTCCAGTTTTTCTTAGGCTTTGGTTTCATCGTGGCAACTACTAGGTGGTGATATGAAGCTATATCAGCTTCTCTGCTTGTTTTTACGTCTTTCACTGACCTTCTGAGTTTTTTGTGTCACCTATAACCATTTTGTTGAAGGCTCAAATCTCTCGCTATTCTAGTTCCATTCTCTCATTGCATGTCGTCCCATGACATCTTTATATCAAGTGCTGTCCATATCAATTTTAGCGTTTAGGTCACTCATCAGGATGGTGAGATCCTTTCTTGAACACTTCGCTATGATTGATTGCAGCCTCGAGTAGAACTGATGTTTATTGTTGTCGTTTCCATCATTTGTGGGTGCATAATATTGGATAACGTACATTGTGATTCCCTTCTTCTTTGTTTTAAAGGATGCTTTGATGATACACGATCCATGAAATTCCCATCCCGTAAGTGCATTTCGTACTTCTTTGGACAACATCAGAGCAACTCCCTGAGTGTGTGGAGCATTTTCCTCTTTGTGACCGGAATATAGCAGCATTTCTCCTGTATCTAGCCTTTTCTGCCCAGCTTGGGTCCGATGGGTCTCGCCGATTCCGAGTACTGCCGACTTGTATCTCTTCATTTCCGTTGCTATTTGACTGATCCTCCCGGCCTCCCACATTGTCTGGATGTTCCATATATCTATAAAAATTCTCGCTCTGGTTGTTAGAAGGAGCATCGGCCTCATGACTTCCGTAGAATCTCGGCTTTTACAATGAAGTGTCAAAATTTTTCCCTTAACTTCCAGGGCAGAGCTTAAATGGTTTGATTTGTCTAATCTGGTTGGCGTTTTTTAGCAAGACCTTTTACTACGGGATGGGGTGCCGACCCCATCCCAACCCTCTACCTTTACCCGGACTCGGGGTCAGCAGTAACTCGAGAAGAACCACAGGAGGAGCTTCATTTAAGTATACCATCTATTAAAATGTTTTTACTAGAAATGAAAAGCTTACCAAGAGCTTTCTACTCTTCAGTGGTTTTCGGCTTGCGCAAACAGTAATACACAGAAATTTATGTCATAAGTATCTGTTATAACGCTCGGTTTCCCACGTTTACACGAATGGGACGTTAACTTACCTTAGACGGATATCTACACTGGATTCCCTCCTAGTACCTATTCTACAGTACTTCAAGTCATCTGAGATCATAAATATATTTCTACACCAAAAACCGACAAAATGCCGACACAATCCAACAGCAATCAGAAATCAGTCAATAATAATAATAAGGACAGGAGAATATATAACTCGTCTATAACGCCTGTCAGACTATCTAGTAGTCTGGCTAAGCAAACAACCAATCATTATCATTTTCGCCCACACATCAGTATCTGAAATCATATCAGTTGAGAAAATTAAAACAGTAGTTCTTATTTGTGATTTTGGAACACATAAAACTTAAATGCAGAAAAATTTATAGCAGTAGGATTGAGGCTTACTGATGGTCAGTGAAATTATTATTTGTTCGAATAATATGAGGGCACAAAAAATGTTCTTGTTCGGGTCAAAAAACAAGTAACGTGTATGGATATGTTCCGCTAACTTTAGCAAGCTGACTGTTAATTGAGAAAAAGTGGAATGCTTCACTATTTCGTAAACCTCTACTTACTTGATATGTTTGTTTTTAAAATATAACATAGTTATATAGTGGGTGTTTTCAAATATATTTCATAATTTTTCGCAGTGTGCAACAGATTACTTGCGAAAGAAAGCCAAAACAGTTAGCCAACAAAAGTGAAAAGCTTACCATGTTTCTAGCTTCCATTGTGCGTAAGTTAGAAGCAAAATTTTCGCAAGCAGATTGACATATCCTCGATACTCTGGATAGTTCCACCCGAGCAGATCCGATTTCTCGTTCTACCTGACCCCTAACTTCAACAAACTGACGACGGCAGGCTACGACTGCTCTCCAGAGGGCAAGGAGTCTCCCATGTTCCATTGTAAAATAATCGTTGAAAGCAGCTTCTTCGTTTCTCCATTCCGCTTCCCGTCGTTCAAGAACATCTCGTAAACGAGATGCTTCCTCCTTAATACGCTGTAAATCGGAGGAAAGCGTTTGGTTGGCATGTGTGGCTTGATCTAATTGCTCCCGAAGCATGCTATTTACACCAGCAAGCGTTGAAGCCCTGTGATATGAACACAAGAGAATCTAATCAAATGGATGTAATAGTTGTGAGTAAAATATTTTAAAAGCAAAACTTCAGTAATTTTATGTTATTTTTTATTAATTTGTGGTAAACGTTTTAGATTCAATGTACTTGAGATAAAGCGTTGTAACCTAAATGCCAAAAAATGGGAGCCTATTTTATGTGAGACAAGTGAAAATTACTTTTTCGCGACGATATGGAGTGTAACATAGTAATTAATTACGCTTAAACTCAAAAACCACATTTATTTATATCATCGAAATAGCTAAAAAAAAACAAATATTATGTTTCCAAACATGGACATAGTAACTTGTGCATTCAATCATGTATAATGGTAACATACCTTTGCTGCTCTTCTTCAAGTCTCAGAAGCGTCGCCTCATATTCAGCTGTATTTTCATCCATTCCAGCCTTAAGATAAATGAAGGATTATTCATAAAAAGTAAAAATATTTGTTAACGGTGGCAGACACAAGTATTTAACATTTGTTACTAAGTATTTATTCGAAAAGTTTAATAACCATTTCGACTTTTGTCTGGTTAATAGTGTTTATAATTGTTAGCATGGGAATTTCTGGAGAATGTAGGATATTAACAGTTGAATTCACAAGTCGATCTTAGCTAAACCACCATTGAAAACCTGGAAGCACTGGATGGCTGCTTCATCCTAATATGGGACTCGCGCGCGAGACCTAAGGTCGTGAACGTGCACCGTTGAGGAGTCCCATCCTAGGACGAAACGGTCGTTCAGTACTTCCAGGTTTCCAATGGTGGTCTAGCTTAGATCGATTCGTGATTTAAACTGTTTATAATTGTATAAAATTAGAAAATGTGAAAAATCAACAGTTAATGATAAGAATAACTCAACCAGGTAAAAGTTACTTAAAAAACGTCATCTTGATAATTAGTTTGGAAAGCGAACTACTTAATTCACATTATGTAATCTACCTTTAATCAAAAGACTGAGGTGAGAATGTCAGCTTAAAAGTCCATTGATATGATACCGATCTATAGGATTCCTAATAGTTAATATAATTAGCGATAATTTATTTTGTTGTTGAAAATAATAATTTTAGTGAAGCATCTACTATTTCTAATTAGTATCATGCTCTTTTAATGAGAATAAAGTTTCTCAACTTACCGTCAATAAATTACACGACAAACTAAATGACGTGCGGAATATTCCTGATTTTGAAAATCAAATGTCTTCATAAAGAAGCATTAAATTACAAATGTATTGAATGATGACATTTATTAGCGTATCATTCAGGCATGTGTTCACATATCTTATAAGCTGAATTTTATTGTGTCTGATCTCACACGATAAGGCGATTTGTAAATTGTGTCAACTCACAGAAAAAATATTATTTGTTATTTCATTCTGATATCCAGTAATTATTTTGGAGAAGGGATTATTGTATTTTCTGTTGACAGTGTGGCGTATTGTTTTTTATTACAAGGCAACTCGAAATATCGTCAAAAGGGGTTTTTCGATCCTGTGAAAGCATGGTCCAAAATCATTGTGAGGGCGGGAATCGTATTTTAGTTTATTTTGGGTTTGTAGAAGTATTTTCTTATGGTTACGAGTCAGGAAAGCCATTTGTGTTTTCACAATAACATCAAGTCATTAGAAACAGTTATTTATGAGTCAGTGAGAACTGATATAGTCAGGTATTAGTTATGAACCTGACTAGAAAATTATAGACTTGAATAATTCCACTAGGTTTTGTAATTTTGAGTTTGGGTGGTTTCGAAGACTAGCTTGCCAAAAGATTACGCTCTAAAGCAAAATGATTCTGTGATCAGACTTAGCTTGTAATGATATTGACTTTTCCGTTTGACTGTTTTCATTAGTGAAACGTATAACCGCTAATTCTAGGTACATCCTATCTATTCACATTCCAAATATTTATGCGTTTAAAAATTAGTTATTATGATGAATAGTGTAACCACGTTCTCACAATGATTATTTATTCAAAGTGTAGTGGTTGGTACTATGTCAAGTCCGCATAGGTTATTCCAGACAAACCAATTTATTCATTCTTCTTGCGTCATAGTTTGGCCTTGTCAGTTATTCGCTTACTAACCTTGATTTTTTATATGAGCGTGTGAGTTAATGCCTTACCCTAATCACCACATATCTGTGACATATTTTTGTCTGACTATAATTATTGAGTCGCGCTTAGTTAGAGTTGGCTCACGCGCCTTCCCTATTGTGCGTCATTTCGTTTCGTTTCTCTCTTTCCTCTTCACTTAGCCACTTATTCTGGATCTCTATCTGGATAAACAAATGCCTGAAATAAATTCCCCCAACACCACCAGTATTTGACTTCTTATTACCACCGTCATACAAACGGGGTTAGCCTAGATAATATCCGGACTTAAATGAAAGATTTATATTTATAGCATGTTCATACGTTGATCCAGATAGGAGTCAGATTTAGGACCATATAAAGGGTTAATGAAGTATATAGTCAAATTATGTCACAATATTCTAACCACTAAACCATAAAATTATAAAATAAATGATTTTGAGTTATCGAGATGGTAGAAAAATCGTCAAAATATAGTATATATTTAAGATGCCATTTATTTGATAATTAACATTAAATTTAACATTTATAGTAGAAACAGGATATAGGCCCAACTTAAATAAGAGTATGTTTGATTTTCAGAAAAAGTAGAAACAACATGAATAGATTCTATCTGTTAAGATTATTTTTCAATTTTGTCACTTATTATCCTTCTCAGAAGGGGTTTGTGGAGACTTTTAGAAATTTTCACAGATTGAAATCATGAATCAGTTGAAGCTAGACCACCATTGAAAACCTGGAGGCACTGGACGGCCGTTTCGTCCTAGTATGGGACTCCTCAGCAGTGCGCATCCACGATCCCGCACCACGCGGGGCTCGAACCCAGGACCTACTGGCTTCGCGCGCGAGCACTTAACCATTAGACCACTGAGCCGGCATCCAACGGTGCGGGATCGTGGATGCGCACTGCTGAGGAGTCCCATACTAGGACGAAACGGCCGTCCAGTGCCTCCAGGTTTTCAATGGTGGTCTAGCTTCAACTGATTCATGATTTCAATCTGTGAAAACTTATTATCCTTAACAAGAATTTTGTTATTTCTTCAATAGTTAGTTCTAAATCAGTCAAAATCTATAGTTATTTTATCTCTAAAATTCACTAAAATTGTCAGTCTTTATTTATCATACAAACTATTGGGTATTTTTAATGATAAAAATTAAAGTAAAAGCGTGTTTCACTAATCACTACAAATTATTGACTTATTTTTTTTTACAAAAATATAAGTAAATTATATCGAACTTTGCTTTCATTAATTAATTTTCGAACAATTAGGTAAGTTGTTATTACCGCTGTGTGTAATTGACTAGGATGGTTCAACTATGAAAAAAAAATAATATTTAGCTCTAAGGAATTTTGTATTGTCTATTTATTTGTTTTCAATAAATTTATGTGGCAATAATACGAAATGTTACAAACAAATGATAATGAAGATATGCGGGCTAACCTTATACTCTAAAATTATTTATTACCCCATTAAAAATTTATCACCTACACTCATGCATTTCGATGCTTTAATAAGAAATTAAGGTCAATTTGATACTCAGAAGATAATATTGTAGCAATTAAATCAAGTTACTCTTTAGTACGATATGATTACTAACTGTTAAGTATACAGTATGTGAAATTAAGGACATTTATCCACATACGATTTAAATAATTCATCCTGGGTAGAAGATAGATAGACTTTCACACACAAGTCATTATAGTATCTTTGCTACATATATAAGTATACTTATTTATATAAAAATATTGGTATCACCAGACGATATCTTTGTACATATCTTCAATGCACGTTACACCGGTTTGGTATAGATTCAGAAATCTATTAAGCACTGTACATTCATATTTGTTGAACATGGATAGCTAAAAAGTTAGTCTTCCCAACCAAATCAACCCCAGTGAATTGGTTTTAGACGAAATCTTCATACAGATGCGGAAATCTTGCTTGATGTCTACCAACTTTTGGCGCAGACGAGTGGTCCGTTTGTCAAACAACGGACGAGTTTACTGTGCAGTAATCCAGCTGTATTGCTCTGTGGATGTGAAACATGGTCTACGAAAGTAGAAGACATATTCAATTTACCGAATTTTGATCATAGGTTTCTTCAAAGTATTGCTTGAGTTTCATCGAGCGATCGAGTAAGCCGTATTATCGTTAGCCATAGGGTGTTAGGCAAAGATGAGGAATTAGTTGACGAAGTGGTAAATCTTTATCGACGGAGGTGGTTGTGATATATATTACGAATGCTTAACCGTTGCCGAATTCGACACACTATCATGACTGGTGTAGTAGTTAGTTCTCAAGGCCAAAGGAGGAGGAGAAGACCAAAGAACATATTACGCCGAGAAATGGAGACAGACATGAAAGGATTTAACAAAAATTGGATAGAACTAGAAAAGAAGGGCCAGGTCAGAGTGGGTTAGAGAATTCTGGTCGGCGGCTTATGCTCTGTTGTGGTTAAAAGGAGTAAATAAGTAAGTAGTTAGTTAAAAGAAAAGTATTGGCGGACAATATGACACCAGTCGATGAAGTCATTGACTGTAAGTTTGAGCCATGTTAGCTAAATGCAAACTACGCGGTTGAGGTTCACACGGTAACCGCGATCAGTGGTTGGAAACGTTGGGTGATACAGCTCAGGATCGGCCACAATAAGGCTTATGCGTTAAATTTCTACCTTAATCTAAATCTTGAGTCGCAGTTTTCTTTCACACATACATCCTGTCTCAAACCATAATCTTAACGTCTAGTCTTTTCCATTATCGTCGGTACCATATTATTTCGACTTTTTTGTTGTTCATCTTTCTGATTTCCTCTAGGTGTGCTGAAATGATTTAACAGCTTGGGCTGCAGCACATCTATACAGGACTCTATTTTGACTGTGGCTAACAGTCATGAATAAAAATCATGACAAACAACTGCTTAAGTTACTTCATTGAAGATCAAAATCTGGTCAATAAATATACTTTGAGTAAACTGTGAACACAGAAAGGCAAATTATCGAAATGTTTCATCGCCATACGATTCTGAAGACAGATCATACAAATTTCAGGTTGTCTTTACGTTGGATCTAGCCTATCAAATATCACTGTGTCTATGTGTGTCTGCATTATTGTTTTAATTTTATGGATTATATACGAAAAGATCTCATTATTTTACAATAAATATGAAGATTTTTTTGTATCAATAAAGAAGTTACTGGAAAGGCCTCCATGATTTTATAGTCAATAAAGGTTTAATAAATGCCCTTTTCCAAAATAGACTAAAATCTCTCGAATCTCATTTTGAATTGTCTGATGACAAAATATGTTTTAATTTCATTTACATATGTTACCTAATAATTCATGGGTTACTTGATAAGTTCTGTACTCTCAGTATTTGAATGAAACCAAGACTAAGGTTTATATTTTTAGAGGAATAATCAGATCAAATACATAGAATTCCTTATCTTTTGAGCATAAATTACAAGGCCATTATGCTCAAACCTCAATAGATCTACCATGTTTTGTATGACATTTAATAACAACCTGTCCTAAAAATACTTCAGCAAAATACTAAAAATGTTATGAGGTAGTGAAATTACTTTTCTGTTTTGATTCTCCGTATCGGCTATCTGTAGTTTAAGTTCAAGTGTTCTACATTTTTCCTTGTACTGTAAAACCTGTCATAAATGACAATAAAATATATAACTGAATTAGAATTTAAAAATATACAGAAAAAATATTTACATACAACACAATGTACCATAACTAGATATTTTGAAACATTTGCATCCACCAACCCTCATTTTCTCATGTAAAACAAATAAAACTTCTTGAAAATATCTCTCAGACTGAAATTTTCAACACTGGAACATCGTTAGCACTATGCTGTCCCTTTAGAAAAATGTGTTTGTTTGCAGAACATATTTAACACATTTTAAACCCAGCTGGAGAAAATCCAATCAAAAGAAGAATGGATTTTAACATTCCACTTGGTCTTTTCTGACAATTTTTTATCAAGATTGTAATGGGATACTAAAAACATATCTGTTCTCATTGTGTAATCAGCGTATGACAATATAGCGATTTGATAATTAGTTACCACAACACTTGAAGAGGTTGAGTAAATTTAATGTAGTCGTTATTTCGTAAAAGTATGTTTATTTCCGTAAATTCTGTTAGGATAACATGGATTCCCTCACCAAATTCATATGATACTGTTTTTGAAGCAAAATTTACAAGTGAAGTATGTTATGTATAAATCAGATGCTGGCAGAAAATGACAAACTTGTTAATCTAATCTGAACAGAAGTTGAAAATATTAAGAACGATAATCAGTCCCAACGTCTGATCCACCGTTTGACTGTGAAGTTCTGTGAGTAATTTAGAAGGTATCAAGGATGCTATTTGAGCAAAATTACATTTGTTTTCTTAACGATTTGTTTTCCATTACTTATTGTATCATCCCTTATTTTGATGTGCTTCATACATGTGTGTCACTTTTCCTAGTCGCATATCGCCCCCATAGTATGCAGAAAACAAAAAGAAATAATTGATTTTTCGTGCTTATTTGTAGCTTAAGTTGGTCGCAGTATTATTTGAGAGTGAATTTCGACAAGCATTCTACCGATCCTAGATAAGAAAGATGGAGGACTATACCCTATGCACCGAAAAATTTACTAGTTTGTAGTATTAGATAAAATAAATAAATAACCTTGTTTACTTTAAAGAAATCTTCATTAACACCTCCACTCACTTTAGACTGGAGCCGCTGAACAAGGTTTGTCTGACGTTGCTGGCCTTCCTGGTAAGCAGATAATCTTTGTTTGTAAGTAGATAATTCTTCATCTAACTTCCTCTTCAAATCACGATTTTCCAAGCTTAAATTATGAGTAACTGATGGGATGTTCAATCCAGCAATAGAATCTTCTTCACATGACTCACCGAAATCCTAAATGAAATATCAATAAATATTTAAACTCTTGATCACCAATTACACTATTAATATCTTAGAATATAATGTTAATATCCACCAAAATTGGTAATTTTTAGTTTATCCATCTAATGTTGAACCTGAACATCAACTGGACGTGATCAGAACATATCTACTTCCTAGGCAATGTGTTTTGAGACTCAGTAAGACAGATGATTATATGCACTAACACAGTAAATAATATCTACTGAGTATGGGAGTATATATATATATTGGAATGTTTTCATATACTACTACACACAGCCGGTCACAAAATGCCTAAAAATACTTATATACAATAAGATTAACTAAAATAGTTATTATTTCACTCTATTTAGAGTCTATAGAATATTTTTATTTCATCTGTCAAAGCATATTAGTAGAAGATATTTTGCTGTTGTTTGTTTCAAAGTGGTTAGATAAAATGAAAATATAAGTTCCACTTTATACCATTCAGTGCAAACAAACTATTGTGGTCACACTTAGAAATAGAAAATTTATTTTCATTACAACTTGCTTTCAGAAAAGATATTTTAAATTTTGAGTGTCAACTAAAGAGTACTTCGCTTTCCGGTCAATGAAATATTGTTTGTTAGATAATGGTCAAAGTAAATAGTAGATTAAATACTTCCTTTGGAAAATTAATTTAGTAGGAAGATACTAACTGGCACAAAGTACGTTACTTAGTTAGATGTCAAAAAAGGTTGTTCGTTGAGTTCAACATAAAATAGTTTAACTGATAAAGATTTACATTTTTCATGTCATCTGGAAATGAAATACAATAAATTATATTGATTAAAGACAACCCAAAGATGAACACTTTAAGTCATTTGATTATGACTATCTGCATACACTACGTATATGTAGCTTATTATCATTCCGTATTCTAATTGCTTTTTATCTAAACGAGTTTGGAATAAAAAAAATCTAAATCACAATAATTATGAATAATACTGTTGAATTGAATGCATTATTTGATGACGTAAAATAGGTTCAGACATAGTCTTTAAACAGAATTGAACAGATAAGCAAACATTGAAATAACAGACTGGTTCAACGAAGTGTCCTCATTTCTACGAATCCATCCTCAGTCCTATATAATAGCAAATAAACACTTTTTTTTCTTAATGATAATTAGTATTAAGTATGCTGGTAGCAGTAATTTACTGATCGTACTAGCGAAAGAAAAGAAATAACAAAATCGCAAAAAATATCATTCTTATTAAGAAACTGGAAATATAGTTATTTAAACCTTGGATAGTAATCAAGAATGTCATAGAAGTTATATACAGGTTCATAATTGTAAAACAGGGTTGCGTAACATGATAAAATAACATGTTGAAATCGGAATATGACCAGAACGTACATGATAACAAAAATAAGTCGTTTGGTGGTGACACACTATGGTGTTTGAATGAACTAATGATACCTGTGTACTTGTTGAATGCTTGATTTCGAATTCTAAATACAGTACATTCGTTCGTGCCTATCTAGTACTTCTTGGTCCGATTACGTTATTTCTGAGATTCCTAGTTCATACTATAATTCAAATAATTCGAAACATTATATTGGCGTCGCGATGGAGCCTGCTATGGAAAAGTTAAACATTCATCCAACTTTTGAAGCTTTTGACGATTACTTTGAAGGGTTCGAAATTCGGGCTATGATCAAGGAAGATGATGAGGATGTTAATATTGCAGCACATTTCCTCACATTCATCGGAAAAGAAGCATACAGCTTATTAAAAACTCTGGCTTTACCGGAAAAGCCCATTTCGCTTTCTTATACAATTCTCAAGGATTTACTGCTAGACTGTGCTAAGTATACAAATTTCGAATGTCGTAAAGGAGGAAGATTTCGTAAAATGATTCATGAGGATATAAAAAATTCCACTACATTACTACGTCATCCCAACCCAGTGCATACTCAAGGTTATGCAGATAATTCATTGAGGAATTGCGATGCAGTTCACAAAGATGGCCACACGTTTGGTCAATGTTTTTCCTGTGGCAAGTTCCACTCTTTGAATTCATGTAGATTTCGTAATTCTGGGTGCTTTAAATGTGGTGATATTGGACATATTCAGTCAGTTTGTAATACTACTGTTCATCTTGCTGCAACTAAAATTAAGTCTTTTAATTCTGATTCTATTAAGCCTAGTGTTCATAATGATCATTTATCTTTATCGACGATTTCAAAAGACAGTGCAGAGTCACATAGCAGTTCAGAGTTAAGTGAAACTCATAATCTTTGCGAGACAACGGTTACTAATCAATCAAATTGTCAGAATTCTCATGTTATTGTACCAGATATGGCTTTTCCTAATGATTCACATATTTCTGACGAAATTGCTTGCAAATATGAGTAAAATATGTTGAGTGAACATAATTATGATCGAAAACCTGATGTAGTTTTGGTAGATGCTGATTTTTCTAATGATCCCTTACTCTGCAATGACATTCTTAATAAATCCGAGGAGACTATTTCAGAAGAATCAAATCGTGATGTTCTATCAAATATTATTTGTCCTCATAATGCATTTGTCTCTTGTGGGAAACTTGTTCAATGCGAAGCACGAGTACTAGATGAGCTCGATTTTAATTACAATTCGGATGATCTCATATCAACTGCTGTTTATCCTTATCACAAAGTCACTTCTGACGTTTACTGTAGTCAATGTGCGAAAAATGTTTCAAATGAAGCCACATCATTCATAACTTTGGGATATAAAGATCCAACATTATCTCGTGGGGGAGCGTAGTCTAAAAATCTATGGCTCGAATTCTAGATATTAATGATTTCAGTACAAAACCGACATGCTGATTGTATACAATTCCAGGTGAGTGTTCCGATTTCGGTTGTTAATTCCAATACTAATGAGCACATTCTAGATAATACAGAGTTTTTATCTAATACAATGTCGGACAGACACAGGATGAACTTAAGAAGACGTGCAATCGATTACAGACACTTATACTCCTATTTAAGCTGTGCCGGATGTGGTGTTTGAATGAACTAATGATACCTGTGTACTTGTTGAATGCTTGATTTCGAATTCTAAATACAGTACATTCGTTCGTGCCTATCTAGTACTTCTTGATCCGATTACGTTATTTCTGGGATTTCTAGTTCATACTATAATCCAAATAATTCCAAACATTATATATACACACACATCATACGTTAAAAACGTTATTAAGTTAGCGTGCGATGGTTCCCTGAATATTTAGGGTGATTTTATCCTTACTTTTTATTCTAATTGAGTTACGAAAAATACTACCTCGTTTATTTAAATTGCAGAACACTAACAATGATCTTGTTATCCCGACCAGATCTCAAGGATAAATAAAAACGTGGTAAGAAATCTAACCAATCTTAACCGTTTAACAATAAGAATCGTTCATAAAGACAACTATCGGAGCTACTATAAAGATCTGTTGTAAGACGAATATCATACAAAATTACAGAGGAAGATAAAGGAACATTATATATATGTAATGATTAACTACCCTGATGGTTTTCCAACTGATACATTACTATCTCTCATCTAACTTGTCCTTTTCTTCAATACTTTTCACCACCTTTATTGTTATTTTATTTAAGAACTTTTAAAACACAGTTTATCAGTTATCAGGAAAATATGTCATAAACAAATTTTCAGTTAGCCATAGAGAATTTTTAAGTAAGTTTACTTGTTCAAAAAGCCAGTTTCGATAGTCCGTTGGAGTTCATAGAAAGAATATAATAAGTCAAACGAAAGTAAAATTTTTTACGGACAAAGTACTCATCAGTTTGTCTTTTTTGATGTTAAGAAATGAACTACTCATGTACTTCACTGAATAAATAATCAGATCCGTTTAATAGATGTGACAATAATAGAGCATGATATTCTTGAAAACCTACTATTACTACTAGATGAATTACTTGGTAACTTCTGTGGTCTTTTTTATAGATTTTAGATATTTGTCGAAATAACGATTAGCTGAATTACACCCCAATACATGATTCGTTCACTTCACATTCATTCCTCCTTATTACGTCTTACTAACTTTTCACATTATTCAGTCCTCCACTAAACATTTGACCGAATTGTAATTGCACTATTATTTCTCTCACCCTATCTGACCCATATTTATTGTGATCATGGTTCTTAAATTTTCACTTACATATATGCAGGTTCAAATTAACATTCTATATGAGTCATATCAATACTAACAATTTCACTCTATTTTGTTTATAATCAGATATGGGTTTTGTGGATATTATATTAATTTAACAGTTGAATTCCTAAGTCAATTACAGCTAGACCACCATGGAAAACCTGGAAGCACTGGACGGCCGTCTAGAGAGTGAGACTGACAGGTCGTGGGTTTGTTCAAATATTAGTCTTTTAATATGATGGGGATCTTTAGATGACTTATTTATTTAAGCGAATTACCCATAGCATTTATCACCTTTCTAATAGATTCACTGACAACTACTGAATGATGTACAGTCAGCATTCTTCATTGTTTCTCATCGGTATTCGTAACAGATGTGTTTATCATAGTCTTTATCGTTGTATTTTGCCAAAACGGCCTTACTTTTCATTGTAGCAAGTGCTAGATAGTTACTTTAGCTTTTTCTTAGTGGTGTGTATTTAACTACAGTTTACTACCAATTATACTGGAATATTTACTAATTCTGGATGACGTCAGAAAATAGTTTCTAAAGTCTGTAATCAGTAAGAGCATCCATCAAATAACAGTATGGTTAATGCTTAGAATTTAAAGTGCTTCATAAATTTCTTTGTTTTCGTGTGTGAATGAAAATGTAGTATTGTGTAAAGAGGTTTTGTAGTGGAGATGAACATTATGAATGCTCCATCCATATATTTAGTTAATGTCCTGTAATTACTTGAGGGCTTCATATCGGCATTTTTAATAATCTAAGCATACAAACTCATTGGTAAACTGTTATATTACCGATTGAATACACTC